TATCAAAATTGAAGTGTCAAAATTCAAGATAGCTGTCTGGTGGCCATCTTGAATATCTTACAAGCCCCAAATTCAATATGCATAACGATGGGCGATGAGGAACCCTCTTGTGAAATTTGAGAAAGATCCCTCAAGTGCTATCTGAGAAATAGTGCTATTTAAACTTTAAACTATACAAATTCAAAAAAGCCAATTTTCAGCCATCTTGGTTTTTTGATCAGTCTCAAGATAACAAATGTATTACCAGGGACCATGAAGAACATTCATGTGAAATTTGAGAAAGATCCATGGAACACTTTCTGAGATATAGCACTAACATCTTTAATTCTCAAAATTCAAGATGGCCACCTGTCAGCCATATTGGTTTTCTGATCAGTCTCAAATTTTGACAGGCATAGCTAATCACTATTGGGTATTCATGTGTTATTTGAGAAAAAATTCTCCACAACTCGCCAAGAAATGCGATTACAAAATACTTAAAATTCAAGATGGCAGTCTTGTCAGCCTTTTTCGTTTCCCGATCTGTCCAAGAATTTGATATGCCTCACGTCTCACTGGCTTGTAATGATATGTAGGTAAATCTATATATAAGACCGTTTGGTATTTGCCAGAATGTGACATTTACCTCAAGATTATTGAAAAAGTGTTTCTATGACTACAAAAAACTTTGAAAGAACGAAATGGCCTGTGATATCAAAGGAACAAATACATACTCCATGCATATAGGAGGTTTCCAATAGAAAATATAATCCATCTTTCCAATTGTATTAAGTTTTTTTGTACATCAACAAAAAATGTTGTCAATTTTTCGACATCAACAGCTTTCTCCCTTTTAGTATATCTGAACCCTTGAAACGTGTGAAATTACTCAAAACACCTTAGTTTAGGTCCAGATATATAGCTTTAACAAATGTCAGGTCCCTGTGGGTTGGATCCAGAATTAGGGTTATTTAGGGAAGAGAAATGGTGGGGTTCAAGGGGTGTGATCGAGGTGGGAGTTCAGGGGTTCGACATGGGGAAATTTTGCAGAAAATCTTCATCCGTCAACATCAGAAAATAAAGAGAAGGTTTTGGGACGAAACAAAAATCTAAAACAGAAGTTTATCCACCTGTGAATTATATGTGCAAAGTAAGACCTTTAGTAGGAAATAAAGATATTCTTTTGTGTCAATAAGAAGCGCAACATTCCACGGACAGGCCGTGCACAAGGGCTTGTATAGACTTATATGATAAAATTAGCTATATATTAGTATTTCTTGCTAATGTTTATGTTATAATATAAGTCTATACAAGTCCCTGTGGACCGTGCGTATACACCGGTAAACGCTTACAAATAGTCCGACCCTATGCATCAAAATGTTACACACGCCTAGGCATAAAGATGCAAGTCTACTTGACTATTCCGATCGTTTTAGAACTGACAAATTGAGAAATATTAGTGACTTACCGTTATTCACACCTCAAGCTTTTTCTCTCCGTCTCCATGTTTTCACGTGCTGCAGTGTTTTGCAACTTACATCACACACCAGGTGGCGTTGCATGCAATTGTAAGCGCGGCATATTCAAACCGTTTATTCTACAGACAGGTGAACTGGTCAGAAGTTATTTGCCAATATCATTTTCACAATGAGTGTCGTATTTGGTTTTTTTAATTAATATACCGTGCCATTCGTTTACTATGTGTGTCACATTATTATTTACACAAACAATTTACATTTATCTTTCTTTTGTCTTTAAATTATTGCTTGCTTGTTATGTTTATTTACGATGAGTGTGTAACCAATATGCAATATCCCTCAATAGTCTATTTGATACATAACAAAATGTGCAAGCGCGTAGCTGCTGTGCAAGCAAATAAGCAGTTACATGCACATCAACACTTCCAAAATGAGCAGACATGCTCGATGATATTGTAAGTATCAGTGATGTTGTTCAGCAATCAATTTCATGAACCGTCTACTCCGTCTTTTCTTTTATAAAATCACAATACTTAAGTTACTTTTTGTCATATCAATAACCATTCTTTTTGGTTTCGGAAATTCTGAAAGAAAAGGAAAGAGGAAAGATTTCGAATTAATATGAGAATCAATATTGCTCTCAAAAACCACCAGATATCACAACAGGGTCTTAATAATCTTTTTTTTTAAGATGGCTAGATAATAAAGTTAATTTGCACATAGTTTACAGTCAAGCTACGCGCCTGCATAATATGGGCCGGGTACACATTAAAATACATTGTATTACTTGTCTACTGAAATTTACATTCCAATTGATAATAGGAGTCTCTCGATACTATTGATATAGAACTCTCGTAACTTTGCATTTATTTGGATGAATGTTTCTTTCACCTTAACTTATTTTTGATTTCTTGATATTTGTTATTCTTGATTTGAATATAATCAAAAATACACCAATCGCAAGAGTGACATTTTATCCATTTTAGTCGAAAGTAAAAACTGAAAATGCCAAACGTTCTGAAAATCTTGCTCCTGTGAAGGTTGTTCGGTTTCCATTTCCAGTGTGGTATATAAATGTTAAAGTGCTAAATGGGTTGGGTTGTTTTTTACTGAAAACACTCTTTCTCTACTTCTTTCAATGCACGCACACACGATTGAGTTCTAGATCTGTACTAGTTAGTTATAAAGAGGTCAGTTTTCAAAGCAAAGGACAGAGGATGTTGACCAGTGAAGTTCATCAAAATATTATCAAATGTGATGCTATAGCAGTTATGTTACTGACATCATTGGGCTGGGCTAATCGGGAACCGTCGGCACTTTTTCTCGTTTTCGGAAAGTGCCGACGGTTCCCGTTTAATCATTGGGCAGAAAACTTTTCTCCTAGAGAACGTTGTGGTTTTCTAGGAGTTGACTCGTTGAGTCTTTTTAACCGTCCGTGATCACGTACATGTATGATGTCATCATAGCTTTTCATCTATATTTTAATGGTTTCTTTTTTATCTGACGGACACCTTTCTCCTTTGTAACAAACTTTTCTATTTTTTAAAATAATAGTAATTTCCCTTCTGCCAAACTACACTGGAGAGATTCCACGGATGTTACGCGACTTTGAGAGCCGTTTTGTTAAGCTTTTAAGGAATGCCTCTGGTCTAGACCTTTCTTTCTCAGCAATCTCGTTGGTTATGTGTTGCAACAACATATCTCGTAGTAACAAATAGTTTACGATACTTTGTAGTAGAAATCATAAACTGTAATCCATTTCGTCTTTTGAACGCTTGATGCATTATTTCATGCCTTTACTATTACACATTGTTTTCTTTTAATTTGATATTTTGATAGACTGACACAGATAAATATATATTATGAAATCCGTAGTTCCATTAGTAAGTATGCCTGCAGGTCAAGACTTGCAGGGTTGACCTTCAAAAAAGACGTCGTTTTCCTTCTGTCAATGTCAATTCAGCAGGCAGTGTTTTTCTGGTCTTCCAATCCTTCTCCAGTTCGTGACCGTGAGGATGATATTCGTTCCGCTCTGTCGTAACATACAAGTATATTGTATCTAACCTACCGTCATCGATAAAGTAAGGTTTTTGCAGATTTTGAATAATTTATTGCTATCGTTCCCTTCCTAACACGGCCACTTTGATTATCAGTGCAGTTTCCGTAGGTTCTAGCTTTTCAAACCCCCTCCTCGTTGCTTGGAGGAAAGGCAATGAAGATGATGTTGGTTCGGCTGTGTCGTATCTGGGAGTAGTTCTTTTCTTAGGAGTCAAAAAACGACCTGCGAAAACATTATACCCTGACTTAGAGATTTCATCTGTCTCTTCTGTGATATCAAGCCATTTTTGCTTGCTATCCAGTCTTTGCAGGAAGTAAATCGTTCAAACAAAAAAGCAAGTTATCCAATAAAAAAGGATATGATGACTTCCTGGCATATATTTGTTGACGTTTCGACCACACTCTCCGATAATCCTCTTCTTTTGCTGATAGTTAAAAAAAAAGTCATATCAATCGCTAACATGAAATTTTAACAATCTATTGCAGCAGTTTTTACCATTTGAAAATTGTACTATTGTATCGTATCATTGAGGTTTACGCTGATAGTTTTACTCTTAATTTAACATCCGGTATGCTAATTGTAGTAGTGGGTACTCTGTTGACAACTGACTCGAAATTTCGGAACAACAACTCGAAATTGCAAGACAGCATTATGGCCATTGTTAATAATAATAATTATTCAGGTAAAAGGCAGATTATACACGTATATCACATTTTGCAGATTGGACATAAATATATATATTATCACAGAATGAGATATTATTTATAAGTTAGTTATGCCATAAAACTAGTAATCAGTCAGGTGTTAAAACTGGATTGGATTAGATTAATTTAGGCCTTTACCTGGGATGACCCATAAAGCCACATCGTGGCTTAATTCCAATGGGGTCCCTTTGATCTAAATAAATCAATTCAATTCATAAAAATAGTTACATAATTATATAGTTGATATTGATAATTTGATAAGACTCTAAGAACCTTCTTTTATAAAAATAGATATAAAATAGATATAACATGTTACATGTGCCATAGGCTATAATCAATAAAATAAAGCTGGTAATTGAATGATATAAAATATGAAGTGATAACCACATGTTGGAATTTTAACAATCAAAGATATATAGCATTAACTTAAAATGTTACTTGCCGAAGGGCTGGTGGTTGGGCCAATCCCTACCGACCAAACTCTCAGACATTAACGTAGTTATATATTTGATTGACATGTACTGGTATATAACTTAAACTAATAAAAATAATTTGAAATAAATAAGATAGTAACAAGTGTATCCCATTTGGAATATTAATTTTTAATTAAGTGTGCGACAAGTGATCAGTTTGTTTAGTGTATGGCCAATGACCATTTGTTCAGTGTACGACCAATACAAAAAACACCAAGAAACTATAAAGCAATAAACACGATATACAGTTTTATATATTTAATCAAATGACCTTCTCTTTGAATATCAACACAGGCAAGTGAAAAGAAAGAACAAATGATTTCTTGTTCCATGTTTAGAGTTGATCATAAAACAAGTCCTTGGACCATGCAATGTCTTCTATAAGGAAACGTAGGTGGAAATAAGATCCATGACCATGTCTCTCTTTCTTATACATCTTTGCGATAAAATAGGCATATGATGCGCCACGTGATGTACCACATGATGTACCACGTGGTGTTTCCGGTCCCTTGTGACGCTGTGTTGTTATAAACTTGAGATTTGTTGTCCTTGACCTCTGTGGCCTGTGGTTGTGACCTCATTGTTGTTGTTCCGAGAGCAAAGGTCGTCCGAATGGTTTGTTTTTCGGTATTACCCATGCGATTTTTAGTCGTCATTGGCAATGCTAGGACCTCTGTGGCCTGTGGTTGTGGCCTCATTGTTGTTGTTCTGAGAGCAAAGGTCGTCCGAATGGTTTGTTTTTCGGTATTATCCATGCGATTTTTAGTCGCCATTGGCAATGCTATAAAAAGTTAAAAACATTCAATGTTCATGATTTTGCATTGACAAGGAAAAACATTAAGCGTTAAAAATGTTAGACCGGCTATCAATGTATCCCGTTATTTTTCATAAACAGGCAATGCATTGCATAGCCTTTAAAAAATAGCTTCAAGCAAATGGCAAACCAAAAATCCCTAGAAATACGTACGAAGTAAGAAGTTACAATTTCTACAAACGTTTTCTTAAAGTCTAAATAATTTAACTTAAAAATGATGAATGGTTTCCTCTTTAGTCAAAAGTTATCAAGATAAGAACGCTGAAGCTATTAATCATGAAAGGCATTTATCCAATTTAAAGTGTTGAATTAACCACACCAACTACATGGTATCTGCATGATATAGGCTTTCTCTTTGAAACTGCCCGCGAAAAGTGATATTGTATACTAAACAGTCAATATCAGTAAAGGTGAAATGTTACATTTTTTTCAATTTGATCTACAGTTGCATCAATTTAATTTCTATATTACCATCGCTGTATTTTTCGATATGAGCATTGGTTTTCGGTAATTTAAAGAAAACTGTCTGAAATAAAAGTCGGTAACACAGTCTCTTTTAGATTAATTTTGAATGCGGAAGCATAACAAAACGTTTGTAATGAAATATGAATAATTCATGGCATGATGCCTGCAAAACCATCGACGATAAAATGGTCATTACCTGGTGGAGTTTTCTTCTTGCGAGGCGGTGTTGTTGGTGGTACTGTTGTCGGACAAGCCCTGGCCTCTACGTTTGGACAAGTGGTGGACATTAATCTGCTATCTGTAAACAACATATGTTTTTAAGAACTAAGAATAAATGCAGTTATAACATTAAAATCATATTTATCTATGCTGTGCCTCGTTTGATTTGGCCACATTGTCGAGATATCGATTTATTGATTCTATTCTTGAAAACAGCGGCCTTTTACATCAACATGTGGAGCTTTGTAAACTGTGCTATTGATGTTTTGGCATTTTTTCTGAAGTTAATCGTATCAAAAAAACATCGTGATAATGTTATTACTTCTAGTATTTGACCAAAACAAATCGTAAATAAGCCACATGAATTCTTTTGATTTTAGTTATATAAAATATAAACTTTAGTTATATAAGATATAAACTTTAGTTATATAAAATATAAACTAAGTCATTGTAATACTTTTAACTACGCTTGGTTATGTTTCTGTAATAATTCATCCACAAATTCAAAACATCACAATATCAATGTTTCAGAGTTGATTCCCAAACTTTTGTTTATTCTTCAAATCTTGCTCAATGTAATTGTAATTTGTTTTAAATTTCTCCAGAATACGATGTCCCTTTTGCTGATAATATGATTGACAATTTATTCTCCGAGATATAATATGAAACATATCGTTAATGAATTATTAGCTGATATAATATCCTCAATTTAGTTATATGTACGTAAACAGGACATCGTGAGTGTAATATGGTATGTTCAAGACACACTAGTACAGCAATGCTGATAGGAGTTTACCTGTTGGAACTTTGCTTACAACGCCTAATCCACACTCTTTGAGAACATCTGCGATTTTCGAAGGTTCTTCTTCATTTGACAGTGGGGTGTAGTTCGGTTTGATATATCGGAGGAACACCAGATACGATTTACCTTTCTGGAACTTGTTGATGAAGCATCTACCATCCAAATTGTTGGCTTGATTTGGGGAACAAAAACAATATATACATATATTCAAAATGTAGGATAAAACAAAAGATCGTTCAGACGTTAAACAAATAGAGCGAATGAAATAAATCTCTCAATGAATGGTTCAAAGAAAACACTTTCGACTGACGGATATCTTTTACAATAAAGGTTTTGAGAGATGCAGGTTGATGAAAGCTATGAATGCATTTTCTGTTTGTCATCATATTTTCATTACAAAATAATCTCATTTCGTTGTACGATATGAAGATAGATGTCATTGGTCAGTTGTCACTACACCTGTTGACAATAAAAATGGCAATAACTGGATTTGCCCTATATTTTTGAGAGAGGTAGGGGGATCTCGCTGATGACTCAGAGTTCATTCTCTTATGATCCCTGTTGTTTTGTAAGCATCTCAATGTAAATCTTTCCTTTGTTCATATTCTGCCCTAGTGTAATCAACATTTAGTAAAAACCACGGTTTTGTTCACGCTACGGTATTCGATTGTTAAGTTTGACAATTGTTGGATGAATTTTGTCTAGTTACACGTGTAAGAAAGAGACAAATATCTTGCAAATGTGAGAATATAGGCGTCTGACATGGGAGAGAAGAAGACATTTGTCTGACAGAGGAGAGAAGAAGACATGTGTCTGACAGGGGAGAGAAGACGACAGGTGGCTGACAGGGGAAAGAAGAAGACAGTGTCTGACAGGGAGAGAAGAAGACAGTGTCTGACAGGGAGAGAAAACGACAGGTGTCTGACATGGAGAGAATAAGACAGGTGTCTGACAGGGAGAGAAGAAGACAGGTGTCTGACAGGGAGAGAAGAAGACAAGTGTCTGACAGGGGAGAGAAGAAGACAGGTGTCTGACAGGGGAGATAATAAGATAAGGGTCTGACAGGGGAGAGAAGCAGACAAGTGTCTGAAAGGGGAGAGAAGAAGACAAGTGTCTGACAGGGGAGAGAAGAAGAAATGTGTCTGACAGGGGAGATAATAAGACAGGTGTCTGACAGGGGAGAGAAGAAGAAAGATGTCTGACAGGGGAGATATTAAGATAGGTGTCGGACAGGGGAGAGATTAAGACATGTGTCTGACAGGGAGATAAGAAGACAGGTGTCTGACAGGGGAGAAAAGAAGACAGTGNGGGGGGGGGGGGGGGGGGGGGGGGAGAGAAAGAAGACAGCTGTCTGACAGGAGAGAGAAAAAGACAGCTGTCTGACAGGAGAGAGAAGAAGACAGGTGTCTGACAGGGAGAGAAGAAGAAAGGTGTCTGACAGGGGAGAGAATAAGACAGGTGTCTGACAGGGAGAGAAGAAGACAGGTGTCTGACAGGGGAGAGAAGAAGACAGGTGTCTGACAGGGGAGAGAAGAAGATAGATGTCTGACAGGGGAGAGAGGAAGACAGGTGTCTGACAGGGGAGAGAAGAAGACAGGTGTCTGACAGGGGAGAGAAGAAGATAGATGTCTGACGGGGGACAGAAGAAGATAGATGTCTTACATGTATGGGTGATGTTAATAATAGCTGGTGGCCGTGTCCCGCTGTCCTTCAATATGCATTTCAGTGTCATTTGATACGACGTATCGCTGATGGAGTCAGTTACTTCCCCTGTCGCTACAAGCGTAGAGAACTTGACGTTTCCCCTGAAATCATCAGATGGTGTCTGCTGACATCCAAGGGAGACAACTGTCACGAGAACGATAGCTAATAGTTCCGGATACATATCCTGAAAGATGAATTTTGAACAAAAATGTAAGTACAAAAAAGGTAAGTATATATGTATAACTGAATTAAGTTAACACCATTACTCTATATTCTTACTGAGAAGAGAGGTGTGATATTATATCAGACTCATCTGTAAGACAGCTAACAGCTAACAACAGATTGTTCATATTTTATACCGTCAGATCTACGTTCAATGACGTTCATTTTGTTTATGAATTTGATTTGTAACGGAAACACAGATTGCGAAGGAACTACATTATGATTCGCGCTATGTTCATGCCTCGAAACACGATCTTCGTCACCAAATTACCTTACGTCACGCTATCACTATTAGTACGCTATCCAAATTGGTTCTCGGTCAGAAAATGGTCCGAATGGTACTTAAAACATAAATGTGAGCATTTTCCTCTGACATTATAAAAAAAAGAAATATTTATCAGCATTTCCAACGAATAATTTTGTTTTCAGGAACATTTTAAGAATACACGATGGTTTCATAGTAAGCATATAGGTAAAACAGTAAAAACAACGTACGGCAATGAAATTTTGAAGGATTTTGAAGGGGTTAATTATAAGCATGTTTAAATGTTGATTTCTGGTCCTTATAATCGGATACAATAAAAGTGTATATATGCAATTGTAGTTCAGTATGGTATTTATAAAAACAATATATATTGTTGCAATCGGCAAATCAACTAGTAGAAAGAAAAACAAATTCCACAGCCGGTGATACTAATTTGGGTACGAATCATAGCCGAAAAAAGGACGAAATCTCACTGCGATTTAAGCGTTTTATGTTTAAAAAAACAAATTATTTAGAATCAGAACTTTTTCTGAAAATGAACCACCATGGGTAGTCTTTGTCAAGAATCAAGAAACATTCCAGATACATGATCTGAATATTTCAACATCACTTACAAACTGACAAAATTGTACCAATTGTGGTAGCGTGACGTTAGCTGAGAAATACCAGCGTCCAACTGTAACACATCTAACACAGTTTTGATGTATCATATCAACAGCTCGTCAGTAACAATTAATGAATGTTGACATGAAGTATAACTACTTGTAATAATTGTAGAACTGCACGTATTTAGTTTTTGTATCATACCCGGTTCTTTATGGCATGGTTTGCCTAGTAAAACAAAAGAAATATCTAGTTTGGTGAACTGGACTTTAAATATTAAAATCTTTAATCAGCGGTGATGGACATCAACATATTGGAAGGTGTTATATATGTGCCAAAGACATACCTAATCTGATCAGGTATCCGCGCTGAGCCCGTGTTAGGACACACAGTGTAATTTAGAAAGTGTATAAATAATAAAAATTTCATCCTCTATTTATCTCTGTTTTCTATAAAATCTTAGGCCAGACATCTTTTTAATACTTAAAGTTAACATATCATGTTCTTTAGGAGATATCCTATAAACAGTATGGACTCATTATATGATAAAAACAGTATGGACTTATTATATGATATAACCAGTATGGACTCATTATATGATATAAACAGTATAGACTTATTATATGACATAAACAGTATGGACTCATTATATGACATAAACAGTTTGGACTCATTATATGATATAAACAGTACGGACTCATTATATGATATAAACAGTACGGACTTATTATATGATATAACCAGTATGTACTCATTATATGATATAAACAGTATAGACTTATTATATGACATAAACAGTATGGACTCATTATATGACATAAACAGTATGGACTCATTATATGATATAACCAGTATGGACTAATTATATGATATAAATAGTATGTACTCATTATATGATATAAACAGTATAGACTTATTATATGACATAAACAGTATGGACTCATTATATGATATAAGCAGTATGGACTTATTATATGATATAAACAGTATAGACTCATTATATGATATAAACAGTATGGACTCATTATATGATTTAAACATTATGGATTCATGATATGATATAAACAGTATGGACTCATTATATGATTTAAACATTATGGATTCATGATATGATATAAACAGTATGGACTCATTATATGATTTAAACATTATGGATTCATGATATGATATAAACAGTATGGACTCATTATATGATTTAAACATTATGGATTCATGATATGATATAAACAGTATGGACTCATTATATGCTATAAACAGTATGGACTTATTATATGATATACCCAGTATGGACTCATTATATGATATAAACAGTATTGACTAATTATATGATATAAACAGTATGGACTCATTATATGATTTAAACATTATGGATTCATGATATGATATAAACAGTATGGACTCATTATATGATTTAAACATTATGGATTCATGATATGATATAAACAGTATGGACTCATTATATGATATAACCAGTATGGACTAATTATATGATATAAATAGTATGTACTCATTATATGATATAAACAGTATGTACTCATTATATGATATAAACAGTATAGACTTATTATATGACATAAACAGTATGGACTCATTATAGGATATGGACTCATTATATGATATAAACAGTATGGACTTATTATATGATATAACCAGTATGGACTCATTATATGATATAAACAGTATGGACACATTATATGACATAAACAGTATGGACTAATTATATGATATAAACAGTATGGACTTATTATATGATATAACCAGTGTGGACTCATTATATGATATAAACAGTATGGACCTATTATATGATATAAACAGTATGGACTCATTATATGATATAAACATTATGGACTCATTATATGATATAAACAGTATGGACTCATTATATGGTATAAACAGTATGGACTAATTATATGATATAAACAGTATGGACACATTATATGATATAACCATTATGGACTCATTATAAATAGTATGGACTCAATATATGATATAAACAGTATAGACTCATTATATGATATAAGCAGTATGGACTCAGTTTATGATATAAACAGTATGGACACATGATATAAACAGTATGGACGCATTATATGACATAAACAGTATGGACACATAATATGACATAAACAGTATGGACTAAGTATATGATATAAACAGTACGGACTAATTATATGATATAAACATTATGGACTCATTATAAATAGTATGGACTCAATATATGATATAAACAGTACGGACTTATTATATGATATAAACAGTATAGACTCATTATATGATATAAGCAGTATGGACTCATTTTATGATATAAACAGTATGGACACATTATATGATATAACCAGTATGGACTCATTATATGATATAAACAGTATGGACTCATTATAGGAAATAAACAGTATGGACTCATTATAGGAAATAAACAGTATGGACTTATTATATGACATAAACAGTATGGACACATTATATGATATAAACAGTATGGACACATTATATGACATAAACAGTATGGACTTATTATATGACATAAACAGTATGGACTCTTTATAGGATATAAATAGTATGGACTCATTATAGGAAATAAACAGTATGGACTCATTATATGACATAAACAGTATGGACACATTATATGATATAAACAGTATGGACTCATTATATGATATAAACAGTATGGACTCATTATATGATATAAACAGTATGGACTCATTATATGACATAAACATTATGTAAATATATCTCTATTTGAGCATAATATATCGCTTTTCTATATCCCTATTTCTTTTAGGATGATCCATTTCCTTTCAGACTCTCTCTATAAAGTTGCCCTCTTTGGCCATTAAAAGTTGTTGGAGCTTGCCACACAAACCTACGGATTGGTGCTCTTATATTTTTGTGCTTAAGGATGCATCTGTTTTATGAGTGCAATCATACTAAAGAAAACGTGCTTTTTATAAAGTATTACTGAAAAAGCATGTGCCCCTATAATTACCGTTGTACATAATTCAATGCACCAGATCACACGGGAGACGCTTAAATAGGGTACCGCTTAAATAGGCACGTTTGCAGAAATACGAATTATAGATAAAACAGATTGCAACTTTGTTTTGGATACATTTTTGACCATGGTCGGGTTTTAATATGCAGCAAAAAAGGGAAGTTCTGAAATATAATCCTGGTGATTGCTTATATTTATTGTTTTGCTTTTGATTGTATAAATGATTTTCTCTGATATCAAATAAATCTATGAAAGAATTTACACACTGTAAGTCATAACTTAAAGACATTTGAATCTTAAACGTTAAAAATGAAAGTAAACGGAACATTAAAATGCTTTAAAACAACTGTAAATCAAATACCTACCTGACGTGGGGAAGCTTCTCAGAGATTTGTGGCTGTGTGCTCCATGTAGAAGATTTAATACCAATCTCTACTGATAGTGCACACTTATCCGCCGGGTCTGCCTTTATTCGTCTTTATTTACGAGCGCGTGTGCGTCCAGCACTTGTCGTTTCGTTGATAAATACTGGTAACCTTTGTATTGTTAAGTATACTTTATTCACTCCGAAAACTTCTGAACATTTTGAATGTTTCTTTTGTTGATAAACCTGATCCCGATAAAAAAAAAATAAACAAGACTCGATGAATTGTAATTGTGATTAATATCCCCGGGGGTGGCTTTAAATCAGTCTATTTTGGAACATTTCGATGACATCACTGATTTGATAAACATCCTTGGTTACAATTGAGATTGGAATTTGACTAAATATAGATGAGACATATGTAAACCATTTTAACAACGACAACAATACGCGATTAAGGTTTACTTACTTGTGTAAACACGTAGGGGTATCATCAATCTGATTAGGGTATCATTTGTGTAACTACAAATTGATGACTGTGGGTGAATCAGTCTGGTGTACTTGGTGTTGGACACGAAGGGTTGTCATTTGTGCACTGATCAATGTTAATATAATGAATAGATGAAAATTTACAAAAATGCACCCGTGGAAATAAATGATATTATTCTGTTCATGATCTCCACATTCCTGTTCTGAAAAATTGTTTAGATTAATTTACCCAAACACGACAACAACCGAAGTCGGATAACATTAATCCCGGTCGCTTGCTATCGTTTGTGTAAAGCTGTGTTATTTGGATGTAGAATAAAACGTGTGCGATTCCTTAGTTTTAATGTATCCTTTTCGGAACTGTTACAAAAAAAAAAAAAAAATCCGTAGCTTAATATGTAAGATGTGATCATAATAATATAGCCAAGTTCTGGTATTGTGACCATGATAATATAACACACCTCTGATAAACTGACAATGATAATGTTGGCCAGCGTCGAGCTGGGAGAGACAAAGAAAAGAGTTTATATTATAGGAAATCAAATGTAATGCTATAAAAATAAAAATAAAAATGAAAAAAAGAGGCCTTGATGACGGATGGTTTCATGTTGGCGGCATTAAAAGTTTCGATATATGATTCATATTAATGAATTACAAGATCTGGAACACCAAAAAATAAGTTGGTGATAATTATGGATATGCATTTATCAGGTTGTTTCGTGATACTGTTGTGGAGGATATGCTAGTTTGGTTTTTGTCATGACGAGGTTTTCCTTTATTGGTAGGGATTTGGGAGAAGTAAAAAAAACTGAGCTAGTTCGTGGGATACTGACAGGAGGATAATATCAGCGATGCTGTCAGAGTAACAGGTTTTGTGTGGCTCAGTCCGTGTAACAGCTTTGGTATTTCATCAATATTAAATTGAATGTTGCCTATGAAAACGAACTATAACTTCACTATATCTCTGTAATGTGAACCAACGTTTCTCGAGTCAATATTTGCTTCAGTTGAAGAGTAATTATATCATTATACATAAGATTGTTGCTAACTACAACCTTCCAGGTTTCACAACCGTAAACCGTAAAAAGAAGACCATGCTTTCTGATTTCCCCTTATTTTAAGTCAAGCTTTGGACTTGTTGGATTTTTCTGTGGGTAACATCTTGACAAACAGGTGTTACAAAGCAGCACATAATCTTTCACAAATATTGTGCAACCCTAGAAATAGAATAACTTTATCCATATTCTACCTTTGGGGGAAGCTTTCACTGTGCTACCGAGGTGAATATATGGACCTCTAGTTGTTAGCTGGAGAACAGGTAGCTCAAGTTGTCATAGCATGGTTAGCTTTACAGTTCTGTTAATGTGTTTTGAGAAATCATTTTATTTTATAACTTTATGATTTACCCTAATATTAACGTGTACGCATACTTTTCATATATCAACCTAAGTATTTTAATATTTCAAAACAAGTTAATGTATCGTTATTTACAAATATCCTATTAGATTTTGTTACTGATTTTTCATCTATAAGATGAATTTTTCACCTGGACTCAAGCTTCAATCTGACTTCAATTAGGATTATCTATACATTTATTGTTGTTGCAACCTGCCATTCAAGCGCCTCAAAGGTATCAAACTAGAATTAATAAGCCATCAATGGTGTGGCATTAAAATGTCCAATTGCTAACATGTAATCATTGATCTGAGCTAAATAAGTTTATCAAAATCGGTCGATGAAATGAGGGGGCTCCGACAGCAATCAGTCGAATCAGTTAAGTTGCCGAGATTATACATGAAGCTCACGAATGATATTAAATCATTTAACTGGGAATGTATTGACACCGGTCTTCTCTAGGGAGGGTTAATGTGTTCATGTCTGATTGGAAAGTTTCCCCTGATTAATAATGTCAATTAAGTGAAATGGTCGTATAGTACATTAATTTATATCTACACCATTGTTCCAGAGAGAGATATATAGAGTGATACGTTGTTTCAATGCCAGCAATTGTCCCCACATCGTACAATTGGACAACACGTACACGCCTTCTGGATTAGTATCATTAGTGATATGGATTCAATCGAAAACTGTGTGCAATATGGATACTATACCGCTGTCAAAAACAATGAATAATCGTTTAAAACGAAACATCTCACATGAAACTAGCAGAATGGAAAAACATGTGATTGGTTATTTTTAATTTACATCGTAGATATACAACATGGAAACAACGACGTTATTAACGTTACCGTACAACAAACAATACATCAGCCAAAACTACAATAATAGCTCACAAAGTGTTTTTGTGCGTTGGCAAATTTTTCACACATATTTCGTTTATTTCTTATGTTCAGAAATAGTAATCATCATTCCGACGGTTTTCGGGAACGCTCTTATCCTAACGAGCATAGCGAAGTTCAGACGCCTCAGAACAGACATGCATATCCTGGTGGCAAATCTGGCCGTGTCCGATCTGCTTGTGGGCATTGTGCTGATTCCAACGGATATGATTTTTCTGTGTATACAAGATCAACTGTATGGAGCAGATACAAAATATCTGTGTCTTGCAACGTTTGGTTTGAACATCACACTCCTGTTCTCCTCCGTGTTCAACCTCTGCCTTATTTCCATAGAACGGTATATAGTCATCGTACATCCGTTGTCTTACTCACAGAGGTGTTCTTGGTATCGCCTAAGCAGGGTAATAGCAGGAAGCTGGGTCATCGCTTTTACGATTGGGCTTTTACCCATGATGGGATGGAATAACTGGCAGTCTTCCTTGCCCTGTGATGGTGAATTTGTATTGCCATTATCGTTTAGAGCAATGTTGAATTCCTTACTGGCGATTGTCCTTCTTCTAAATACCGTTATGTACATAATCGTCGTCCGCACAGCCTGGAAACAGATGGACAGAGTAGCAATGGAATTAAGACACAACAGCGACCACTTTGGGCCAAAACAAAGAACACTGAAGCGAGATTTTAGAAAAACCAAAGTGATGATATTAATATTAGGCGTATTTAGTATCTGCTGGGGTCCCTATTGTATATGCTCTCTTGTAAATACATTCATCGGTGATTATCAAATCACAGTTATCGTTAGTAAGTTTTTCTTTCAACTTGGCATTTTAAACTCGGGGTTGAATTGGATTATTTTTGGATTAAAGAACAAGGATTACCGACATGCTTTCAAACAGATACTAAAGTGCAATAAAGAAGGAAATGACACCTCTTTTACAATGACGTCCAGTACGGATAAACCCCGTGGTGGTGGACCGAACAGGTGCGTTAATAATACTGTCCACCCAAAGATATCCAATACGGATGAAACTCTTAACGTTGAGTCGAAGAGGTGTGTAACTCCGTTTCAGCCAAGGGCATATAATACAACTAAAACTCGTAGTATAGGGTTAAATGGGTCCCCCAAAACTACTACCCAACCAAGAACATCTAATACAACTAAAACTCGTAGTATAGGGTTAAATAGTTCTCCTAAAACTACTACCCAACTAAGGACATCTAATACAACTATAACTCGTAGTTTAGGGTTAAATGGGCCTCCCAAAACTACTACCCAACCAAGGACATCTAATACAACTAAAACTCGTAGTATAGGCTCAAATAGGTCTCCTAAAACTACTACCCAACCAAGGACATCTAATACAACTATAACTCGTAGTTTAGGGTTAAATGGGTCTCCCAAAACAACTACCCAACCAAGAACATCTAATACAACTAAAACTCGTAGTATAGGGTTAAATAGGTCTCCAAATACTACTGCTCAGTCAAAGACATTTAGTACGAACAGGAGTTTCGATACCAAGGGTCAAATAGCTGCCCAGTCGAGGAAGTGAAAGAACCAGTCGTTGGGAAATGGATTAATGGACTGATCAAATATGAATGAAAACGAAGGAAAATACTATTTTTGAAATGTGTATCAATTCAATACGCATATGTATTTTCAGAGATTATACGGCCTCTGAAAGTCGTTAGTAAGGATACAGAAAAGAGGTTCCCTAACAACAGCGCCTTAATGACCACACGAGTTGACGATGGACTTTCTGCAATCTATAGTGAAGGAAAAAAACATTCCATAACAGTGATGAGCTTTGGTGCCATACAATTTCTAAGTGAGCAATTTTATCGAAAGCCTTAAAGACGTTTTGATGGAAGCTGGCAATTAAGTGGTCTTGGGCTGCTAATTATTTCGATAAGTGATGCAGACAGATGCTGCATTGTTACTCACAGGATCTGGGACGCCTAACACCGTGTTGGTTATCAATCGTTAAGAATATTTTTTTCCATCTGGATGTTTCATGATGCTGTTGCGGAGGATCTGCTAAAAGTGTTTGTGTTAGGGGACGATACTACGTTTTCTGGAAGGCTGTTCCAAAGTTTTGTAGTTCCGATAGTAAATTTGTTGTCCCTCAGGGATGTCCTGGACTGCTGTGAGAATACCATTTTGGAGTTTCCTCGGTAGCTGTGCCTTGATGCCACATATCTCCATAATTTTACAAAATTGAACGATTCTTTATCGTATACTCCATTTATTATCTGTCTGCATCATTTATCGAAATAATTCATTATTGTATATTTATGAGACATTCATACTATGTTCTAAATCAGATAATTTAACACAAGAATACCTCACACATGTCTTAACATATTTAAACCTAAATGCAGAGTTTTAAGATTATACCTAACAGGATACAGTGTGGTATAGGCTGCTGTTTGCTTTGTTAGTCCCCGAGGTTTGCCGTAACTTCATGGCCATTATAATCTTGAGCCCTGGCATTGCTCATAATATATAACCTTTACTATCGATTAATTTGAAGTTAATCAGTACTCTTCTAACTTTCTAAATTCATATAACTGTTGAATGCATCTCCCCTTCCGTTACAACAGTAGCTCAGACTAATTTGCATTTCCACCTTTTGGCCCCTAGCTTCACCGATGAGTCCTTGAAGGACGTGCCCGCTGTACGTGTATGGTGCAGTGCAATTCATAGCAAAGTGTATCTATCACCGAGTTTTATAGGTACAAGCACATATATGTGTCTTACGTCTTTAATTTAAAAGACAGGCCTGTAATAGGAAGCCTTATTTCTCGGTGTTCTATCTTGAAAACCGTGAAAATGCTTGCTTGGTTCCAGTCAGAACGTCCATAGCGTGTAGTGGAATGAGATTTTGATAAAGTTTTTCGTTTCAAAAGGAAAGCTAGTTCGTGGGATATTGACAGAAGGATCATGGCAGGGATGTTATCGGTCACATGGATAGTGGGGTTCAGTCCGTGCATACGACCAGGGTCACTTGTATGGAATGCAAGTCAATGTTTCTTGAGTGAAACCTCAGCATATTGGTCATTATATATATATGATATACACAAAAGATCGTTGCGCATGACAGCTAGGCTCGAAAGGATCTTTCTTGGCTCTTTCCTGCATTCTTCTCCATTATACATTAGTTTTCGAATGTTATCCAAATCCTGAGGTTTGTTTCCCTGTGATTTTCAAACGATTAAATTTTTTTATTTTTTTTTATTTCTTAAATTTTCAATTGCCTTTAGAAGTTTTCTGCTATCGGAAAAGCTTACGTCATTGTATTCATGAATATTTACAATATAAAAATCCCAGAAATGACGGTTTTAGTATACAAATATTTCAATGACGAAGTTTTTGTTTACCAGTGGATGTCTCAATATTGGAAAAAATGTTTTAGTTGGTGGTTTTTTAACATGAACTAGTAGCTTGGATTGTTCCTATAAAACATCACTACAAAAGACGTACAATCAATTACAGTATTTTTATTACTTAATTTACAATATTAAGGACATAGTTTCCCTCACAAGCTAAGTATCTAATAACATTATCAATAAGATAATTCACTATTCAGAATTGTTTCCAGATCAAAAGAATTATTTGAGTATGTCACCAGACAGGGGAAAGTCTGATATACCACACGTATTTGTTCCCTTTGTATTAACTTGAAGTAAATATATCTTTATGTTAAGTTTATAATAAATTTCATATCTTCCAATGCTTCACCATGTATTACTTTCCAGATATTATTTAACACTAAATTAAATTTGAATATCTTTTCCTTACAGCACTGTATTTAAATATGGACACAGTTCAATGGTTTTGTGACATTGCTATTCCCCAAATACAAAATGACACACACAAATACCATGCCAAAACCAGTTATTAAGCAGATCATCTATCAATTCATATGAATTTGTCATATTCAATGGTGAATACGCATACAGTTTTATCAATTAAACAAAAAATACCTGAATGTTTCACTGCTGGTCCTGTCGCAGACTAAATTCAACTCTAGCTGGCTGAGAAGTTTAATACATACTTTCTAGGAAACATTAATTTTCTCACCTCTGTTAATGCAAGATACACATGTCCCAATGTAGAACTCCCATAACATCACCTAACAGAATTAAACAATTATTCAACAACCTTTAGGTGAAGCTTTGATACTATTAATGTGCTTTGAATTTTCAAGTATGTATTTTTACTAATCTTTCAAAATATATTTTCGGTTAATATTTTTCTTGTTGTTGCATTCGCAATGGTTTTGTTGATATGTACCAAATACCGGGGTAAGAGTAGGAAGAAAAAGTGCCCAACACTTTGTTGTCAATTCTACTCTTTGGTGTAGATTTTTGTTGCCGACCCTCACTAACACCTCCATCCACTAAGACCTGAAGTTGACCACCACAATGGATAATTTCCCCCTCCCCCTTACCTACATATGATAGACTCTACTAGTATAAATCACTCGTGTTACCAACAAAAAGTTCAATATGTTGTATAAACCTTTTAATGAATCAAGTATTTACTGTCTTTTTCAAATATCTTTACCAACACAATGCATACGGAATAAAACGTATACAATATATCTGCCTTTGTGTTGATTCTTTCCAGGGAATTGCTGAATGTCAGTATCCATCGACACATCCACATCCTAAACAGGTAACTCTTCTGTTATATGATCCTCGAAGGTTAATGTTCACATCCAAATGTAATCGGAGTGAGACATACAGTAGTCAACTACAAAAGGCAGCCTCTCCTGATAGAAGCCAGAATTGTGTCAGCACTAGAGGTTCAGGTAGGTGGCCGAAGTTAGGTTGAGGTCCGATGTTCAGGTAGAGATCGTGGTTCAGGGGGGGGGTCAAGGTTCAGGTTGGGGGTCAAGGTTCAGACAGGTGGTCGATGTTCAGGTAGAGGTCATGGTTCAGGTTGGGGCGTCAAGGTTCAGGTTGGAGGTCAAGGTTCAGGTAGAGGACCGAGGTTCAGGTAGACGGCTGATGTTCAGGTTCCGATAGAAGGCCGAGATCCAGGTTTAAGCTCATGATCAGCACATTGATCAGTAGTATTTTTGACAGTAGTATCAGACACAGTAGACCAGAGTGTCAGACCTCTGACTTCAGCACAGTGACTTCATCAGTAGTATCAGACACAGTAGACCAGAGTGACCTCTGACTTCAGCACAGTGATTTTATCAGTAGTATCAACACAGTAGACCAGAGTGACCTCTGACTTCAGCACATTGGTTTTATCAGTAGTATAAGACACAGTAGACCAGAGTGTCAGACCTCTGACTTCGGCACAGTGATTTTATCAGTAGTATCAAACACAGTAGACCAGAGTGACCTCTGACTTCAGCACAGTGATTTTATCAGTAGTATCAGACACAGTAGACCAGAGTGACCTCTGACTTCTCTGCACTATAAGAAGAACTTCCTTCTACTTGTGTCCATTTCATGACGCTGGAAAAAAAAAAGAGTCAATTTCTCATTTTACTGTTCTTATTTTTAACTCAACATAAGAAAGCTCAAATATAACATACAACAATAAGATTGTGATCACATCAAACTAGAAATTTATCCTCACACTTTTACTGTTAGCAAATTTTTATGATTCATATGGAAGGGTAAAACTGATTGTAAATTCTTACGTATTAAAATACCAAATCAAATTTCTGGAAAACATTTCTGGAGATTATTTACGTGAACAGTAAATTTTGTGAGAAAATAGCAATCCCTGAATTTTGATGTTTTTCACTCCGTCTGACAATGAGTCTTACCTTGTGAATCCATTCATATTCTCCATATTTTGAGTCAAATGTGCCTTTTTGTAACGATCGTAATTTCAGTGTAAATCTTGGTCCTAGTTCTTGCAATCCAGCCCTCTTTTCATTTCTAAATACATATCTGTAAAATAAACACAAAGCTCTTAAACAAACCAATCATTCTGTATATTTCTAGGGCAACCACACCAAGGAGATAACAGTTCCAATGATTTTGCATTTTTCTGAGATTTCAAACTGTTTCAGAAATAACAATTGTTACATTAATAACAAAGAGTGAATATAATTCCATGTGATTGTGTTTCAAACTAATAATGCATAACCTTGAATTGTTTACATTGAAACCTCAATAACCAGCAGAGAAAGCATATACGTTTAACCTTATGTACATATACGGCTGAGGAAATATCAAATATATTAAAACGTAAAAAAAACACCACTCAATATAACATCCCTTAAATACTACGTTTGTTTTGAACTCAAACAGTAACTGAAAACTATCTGTTTGTGTTAAAAAAAATTTTTACTCCCTTACCCACCCACAGAACAAATTCCTATATAGGGTTCCTTCAATATATCACCAAACCCCTTTATAATGCCAGCATTTCGAAGGACAAATGGTGGCAGTAAATAATAATAATAATTTGAGGTTCTTATATACCGCTTTATCACAACCTAGTTCATAGGTCGTATCAAAGCGGTTCACAAATTATTATCCGTGGTTATATGGCCTTTGTAACCAGCCAATACCTTTCTCAACTCCTTGGGGAGCATACAGCAGGAGCTGCCATTTTGGCGCCAACAGCTAGCATTCAACAATTCTAGCACTGCCAAACCACATACTCATTTACAGCTGAGTAGACTGGAAAAAGCGGAGTAAAGTATCTTGCTGAAAGATACAACACAGTGCCGTGCCGTGATTCTAACACGCAACCCTTCGGTCACGAGCCCGGCGTCCTACCACTGGACTACCGTGTCACCTCATGTTAATCTTTTTAACCAATTATAAAAGGAAATCTGGTTGTATATTGGACTAGTACTGAGTAAATATCTTAACTGTAAATAAGTAAAACATCAGAAGGATTACTATGAAAGATTTCACAAGTACCTTAGATGAGTGATTTTAAAAATGATAATTAGCAGATTTTTAATTTTAGTCAACAAGTAATTTAACGGGATTTGGTATTGATTATAATTACTACCCTGACTCATGAATGATGAATGAGCAGGTATCCTGACACTATCCTCTGTGGATACGAGTGATTGAAAGCTTTTAGTGTCATGAACGATGTCATGTAATATTTACGAGCTAGATGTACCGTTACCTTTGTGTTTCCTAAGTGACGATCACGTAAAATGATGACTGATGTGAACACATATATATAGCACTGTTTTGATGATGCTCAAATAAATTCTAGCGCAAGGAAAAATTCACAAGCTAAGTACAGTTTAGACAAGCAATATTTTAGTTTAATTTGGAATTTATGTACAGTTTAGTCAATGATATACGAAATTAATTTAGCACTTCTGTTGAGTTTGGTAAATCTCTGCCAGAGTTGAACCTTAAACTACTGTATACCGGACATTTTTCGCTGCAGTTTTAATTTCACCGTTTTTGCCCTCCGTCATGAGGGCGAATTTAACATTCCAGCAAAATTTGCAAACAACATAATATACCTGCCAGCCAGACTGAATCCCCTTTACCTGTGCATGTGACCCAGGTCAGCTGTATACGCCTGCCAGCCAGACTGAATCCCCTTTACCTGTGCATGTGTGATCATAGCTTTGTCAAGGAACCGACAGATCACAGCCATGTTTAATATGTGGGCGTTTTTTATTATTTCCTGGATTACAGTCGCATTCTAGATTGTGGTGGTTGCGGGCAAACACATTTAAAAGGGATGGTAGTTTTATTTTAATTTTAATTAAGATTATGGTTGCCTTCTAGATTCGCACTAGAGGGATTTTCCCTTTAGCTCAGTGGTAGAGCGTCTGACTAGGCAGTCTGGGGTGGCAGGTTTGATCTCTAGTGAAATCTCACTACTCTCTTTCCTGTTACACATATATAAGATACAGCAAAATAAAGCTATATTCTGTGACAATGAACCTATATGCGATGCCTGGAAAAAAAGGTTTTATCTTCAATAAACCTGGTTAACCCTTTCACCCCTAGGTAACTCTAGTAGACTCTACCATACATTGATCTGGGTGAGTCCATTATGGTCTACAGTGGTGAACGGGTTAAACGTACCTGTGATGCCTGAAGAAGATGAAGTCTCGCTGGTTATGAAATGTGATCACTCTACGGCCATGGAATTCAGGGTCGTGGGGAAATAAGGAGGCAAACATGCGTCCGACACTGTGTCCAAGTCTGGTGTTGAAGTTGTTTAGAATGATCTCCGGTTGATGACCTGTCATCTCTCCAACCCTCTGGTAAACAATGTAAAACATATGTAAACACATTATCTCTACACAATCTGTAATAACATCATCGCTTAATGATGTATTATACATATAGCGTCTCTTAATTCTATAATATACACATATACATTGTATACCGTATTTGACCGCAAATAAGCCCCCACCCTTAGTGAAAAAACATCTTGGATATATACCACTGTTTTGATCTATGACCACACTAAATATCATGTACTTATATATTGTAGTTGTTCATGTTGTAAAAACAACAACTAACAGACAGAATATTTAATAACAATCACTAAAAGTTGATTAGTTGATGGTGCTTTTGTATTGGTTGATACAAATATCAGAATGGCAATATTAACAAACTGACGTTGACAGAAAGATTTGATATGGAAAAAAAATATCAATTTGAAAACGATTTCACCTCTCTGTAATAACTTATAAATGTATTCTAAAAAGTATTCATAATTTGCTTCTTCAGTACAGACTATTCCGTCTTTGCGTATTGCAGAGTTATCTTCTCTTGGGAAAAGGTATTGATTGTTACGTCATTGGTTTGTGCGAGAAAATTATGTCGTTTTCTCAACAATTGATGACGTTACTCTCACAAACAAGTGACGTAACAATCAATACCTGCTCCCAAGAGAAGATAACTCTGCAATACGCAAAGACGGAATAGATATAATGGATTTGGTACAAGCACCATGTTTCATTTTACATTGAAAACTGCAAAATACACAACCGGTTAAAAAAATTGAAAGCATGGAGTTCTTTCAGCAACAGAACGATGTTTTGTTTTATGTTAAGCCATCTAGATATCGTGATATTTTGTTATGTTTTACATCATATTCAATAGTCATGTGTTATAATATTCATCTTTAATTCACTCATGAATACAGAATCACAGTACTCAGTAAAGAGTACATGTCACTACATGCTATTTACTATTGTGCCTAATTCAGAAACATAGTTATTTGTAGTATTTTAACTTGGGTTTATGTTGTTTTGCATCCATTTAGCTAAATTGCTTATGTTAGAGACAAAAACTGACATACAATTTTTAGGGAGATGGAGACAAAATTAGGAAGGAGGCTTATTTGTTCCAAGGACATTTGCCAAAGTGGGGAGGGGGCTTATTTGCGGTAAAATACGGTATATACAGAGCATCTTAAAGAATATATAACGACATCATATTACTTTTGTAGTGTGATGGCATATAATTGTGAAATCATGACGTTGTCCTATGGAAACAAACCTGAAGGATAAAAGCTGTTAGTTTTGAAGTTGGTCGCTATATCTCTACTTACCTACATCACATGGGAATCTTTTCCATTTGAATATTATATATTGCAAACAGTTATATCGACTCTCCAACCCTTTGGTTAATGATGCGATATCCATCTCTATAATCTTGATAAACATTCTCATAGATATATCATCTGTCTCATCCTCTAGTAAATCATAAATGATACATTCTTACTAATTTATCAACCTTACCTTAATCTCTGGTGCAAGCCTGACATTGCTCATTTTAAAGTGAGATGTTGGACCGTCAGGTAGATGTGTTAGAATCAGTCCATCTATGTACTGTTAGGGAGGCAATTAGTGAGACCCTCAGATAAATGACCAAGGGAAATACATTCAAGAAAGATGTTTATTCTTCTTTTGAATATTAGTGATAATTTAATACCAGGTAGATAACCATTAATGTGTTACAGTAAATTCTTCAAAGATGATTTTTCATTTGCCAAAGGAAAAGACGATATTAGGATGACCCACTGCAGACAAAACATTAGAGAGTTCCACTAGCTTTCTTTACACACAATTACCTCCCCTTACATTTGTTTTTGATGTAAATGTAACTTGACTGGGACAGGGAACGTAGTTCAGTTAATTAGAGTGACACTACTTGTATAGAATGATCGGTGGTCCAGGGTTCCAATCCTAGTAGTGCTTTACTCATTCACCCCTGAAATTTCATAATGAACTATTCCAGCCTTTGAATTGGAAGAGTTCAAATGTGTCTTCAGGGGTGAATGAGTTAACCATCATACTGTTCAAATAAGTTAGGTCTGCAGTAGGATTACAATTCATTGGGTGCTATTCTGTTCTGAATAAATTTGTAAAATAACACTGGTACAGTCACCTTTTAAACTAAGATACTTAAATTAAATGCTATAATTATGAAGTTTGACATCTTTTTTTGAGTGCCGATATCATAAACTTGTAAGGTTAAATCTGACAGTACAAGTTAAAAAGCTTTCAATTAAGATTAAAACAATTTTAATTTCAATTTGTTTCTTGATTTGAGATGTTCCCCGCTGACTATCTCTTTTGGCTGTCACTGCATCTAAGGAAACACCAAATTTTAGGATGTACTTGCTTGGTAACCAGTATGGGTCCAAATAAATTCCAACTTTCGTTTTATTTAGGAACATGATGAAGAAAAAACTTATCTTTTAAAACTCTTGATCTCGTAGGAGTCTAAAAATTGATATCTTACAAGAAAACCAAAAATAAAAAAATTGATTTTCAAATATCCCATACATTTTAGTGTTAAATGACTTTCAATATCCTTGTTTTATTTCAAATAACTCCTATTTTTTCTATTATTTTTGTTATAAAAAGATACTGGGCTGTTGATGGTTCTCGTTGACTACCATAATGTCGGTAAAGTCTCTGGACAGAGCTTGAGGGATGATCTTCTTCAGGTCCAGTCCGCGACGGTAGTAAATCTCTGAGTTTGGAAAACTCTTCTTTAGCTCTTTACAAAACTTATTGGTTCTCTGAAATAAGACATAAAAAAATATATTCTGATTTTATCATTTTTTCAAGTTAATTCAAAACAAACAAATCCTTGAAGTTCATGTACTGATTTGACGAATTGGTTTAGACAAAGTTATCCTTCTAAATAAGTTGTCTCAGTAGTATAACTTTATAAGATTTATGGAGTATAAGTGAGCATTTTGAGGTTGTTAAATATGCACAGATCAATCTCATTTGTGAAATGTTTGATCGTTTTAAGTCCTGTCTATACATCAGTAACCATTAGTCAACACCATAAATTAAACAGGGCATGCTGTTATCCACAATGAGGCACTGTTCAGACAAAGGAACATATCTTAAATGTGATTTAACTTTAAATTAAACCATTTCATCAAAAAAAAAAATTATTAAGATATAATACTGAGGATTTATTTCTATAAGCCATTTAAAGCCCTTTGGGGCTATTTTATTGCCACAATGAAGCCCTATTCCCAATGGATAATAGCATTTTTTCCCAAATTTTTTTTTTTTTCAATTTTAAAAATGTCCACCATATTTATATATAATCATATGACAATGCATCATCTAAAATCTTATATGAAATAATGCTTTAGTCTTTTTAGAAATTATCTGCAAGGCAACCAATTTTTTGAAGATCTATCGATGGCAATAATAGTGTTTTATATGGACTTTGGCGATCCTGTTTTCGTGTATACATCCTATAGATTAACGTAGATTAAAATATAACATACAGAACTGGGTCTATCACTAGTGGTGATGAGTATTTTGGGGAGAGTTTCCCTTCTGAAATAGGAGGACATCTCATCTTGAGCTTCATCTTTCATCACCTAGTCAGAGAAAATATAAAATGCTTGTAAATTGTGGAAAATCAAACGTATCTGTATTATTACATTATAAACATTTGCTTAACAAGGCATGCTACATTATGTAAGGCTGTTGTCTAAATAATCATATTCATGACAGTCATATGAAATTTTGCTTATTCCATGATATATGTAATTTAGAACATTTACAATTTTTACACATTTTTTCACGTTTACTTCAATACCTGAAATGGAATCTTTGGTTCATCTCCATCCCATTCTTTGGTCACAGTTTAACGTATCTAATTGATCTCTTAAATTGTTTTGAAGCTTCTTGTAAAATATGATAATTTCATTAGCTGTTTGCTACGGACAATCAGTTTCGTGTGAGAATATTACATACCAGACTAAATTGAATTTTATAATATTGAAACTGTAGGAAAGCTTAATTAATGGGTGTTTCTAGTCAGTTACCTCTTCGTCCTGGGCATTCACCATAGTCTCATCAGGGATTCTCATACTCTCGATTGTCTTAGGAACCTGCTTTGGTGGAGCCTTGAAAAAGATGGGTAATAGTGAAATACAAGAACTTAAATTAGTGACATTTCCTCAAATAAACTGAAAATCAGATATCATTGATCTTCCTTACAGCTCTAGTTCTTCATCCATTCAGCATTATCAACAAGAATTGTACACATACAATGTTTTTTTAATTTCATTTTCTGCAATCTATTGTTACCAAAATGTTTTCTGCAATCTATTGTTACCAAAAAAGAAATTAGAAGTTTATTCTATTATTGATGTGTGACATACAACTAAAGAGTCTGATATAAATAATCAGCGACGCCTAAAAGTGCTGTATCAAACTTACCTTGTCACCTAAAGCTTCATTTTCTTTCTTTTTTCTCTTCTTCTCTTTAATTTTTTCCTAGTAGAAAGAAAGTATACATGTTATCTTACTTGAATGTCATATAATAATTTAAAAAATTGTATTAATAAATTAATAATGAGCATGCGGTAAAAAGCAAACGTAATAGTTACACAAGAAGATATGATGTAATTATTATTTAATTGTATAATGTGTATACAAATGTACTAGTAATATTCCACTGAATCAATGACGTTTTATACTACTAGTCTATGATTTACTGATCATGATGTTCTGCGACTGATCATGGTTTTTATGGTATATAAAAACTTAGGATGTATGTACAGTGATGTATGGAGCAGACCACACAATTGATTTTATATAAAGCTTTTAAGATCATCTCCTGGTATAAAACTCATTACATAATATTTTTCATTTATATGGGTCAAATACTAACATTCTAATGTAACTACATGATGCTGATGTAAATAATAAAGGAGTTAGGTATGTAACGTAACCAACGTATTTTACTTTAGCCTGCCAATATGCTCCCCCCTACCCCACAACCGTTTCCAATGGGTAGAAATGAAGAAAATTTCTTTTGATTAATTCCAAACTTCACTCCTCTGCTGTGCTCATTCTACTGAAGTCACCAAGAAGTAATCCTGGTAAAACTCATGAAACTTTCATTTTATAACTGAACGAAAGCTAAAAACTAGCAAAACTACTTGGTAATGGTAAAAGTATTTGTAAACTGGACAATTACTTCATGAATTCTACTATAAAATTACACCAGCCATACATGTGTAGTTAAATTTTCTTGTTATGTTTCCCCAGGACAACTTGACACTCTTGCAGCCTGAATCAAATAGTGTTGGGTTCCCTTTAGTAGAGATTATGTGTTCAGTAGTAATTTAGTATCTTGACTTTTTCACTCGGCAGTCGGGTACCAAAACAATTTTGCTACTTGCATATAGCAGTCAGGTCCCTTAGTATTATAGGTAAATATGCCAGGCTTTAGTAAACTGGGTATCAAGGTAATAGGACTGTCACCATTTCTCAGTAGAATTTCTTAAAATTTTGTAGTTATATTGCTTTGAAATAAAGAAAATTTCTGCCACAAACAAAATATAGGTTGTCAGAATTTTAGGGATTTTAAATGGAAATTTATGTAAAAAGGAGTGAATTTTGAAAATAATATGAAAGACACAATTTTTTGCAAAATAATTTCAATAACAAGAGGCCCAATGGGCCTGCATCGCTCACCTGGTATAAATCTCACACTTGTAACCTTAAAAGTGATCTAAAATAAAGCTACAGGCAAAATATCAGTATTTATGATTAAAATTCATTCAAAAGACCCTGTTATTTTTTTATAAAACATTTCACCCCTGTAATTGAAAGTCGAACAAATTTTATAGCCTTTCATCTCAGGATGCAATTTGCAAAGTATCAACATCCTGGGACCCATGGTTATTCAGAAGAGGTCGTTTAAAGATTTTAAACAAATTTGACCCCTGTGACCTTGAATATAAGTCAAAGTCATTCACTTTAACAAACATAGTAGTCCTTGATCCCAGCATGCTACTGACTAAATATCAACATCCTGAGCCTTTTGATTATTCAGAACAAGTTGTTTAAATATTTTGAACATATTTGCTCCTTGTGACCTTGAATATGATTCAAGGTCATACATTTAAACAAACTTGGTAGCCCTTGATCCTAGTATGCTACTGACTAAATATCATCACCCTGGGCATTTTGGTTATTCAGAAGAAGTTGTTTAAAGTTTTTAACATATTTGACCCCTGTGACCTTGAATATGGGTGAAGGTCATTCATTTGAACAAACTTTGTAGCCCTTCATCTCAGCATGCTACTGGCCAAATATCATCACCCTGGGCATTTTGGTTATTCAGAAGAAGTTGTTTAAAGGTTTTTTAAGACAATTGACCCCTGTGACCTTGAATATAATTGAAGGTCATTCAATTGAACAAACTTGGTAGCCCTTCATCCAAGCATGCTACTGGCCAAATATCATCTCCTTGGGCAGTTTGGTTATCAAGAAGAAGATGTTTAAAGTTTTTAACATATTTGACCCCTGTGACCTTGAAAATGGGTGAAGGTAATTAATTTTAACAAACTTTGTAGCCCTTCATCCCAGTTTGCTTCTGGCCAAATATCGACACCCTAGGCCTTTCAGTTATTAAGAAGAAGTCGTTTAAAGTAAAATATTGACACCGGACGACGGACGGACGGATGACGGACGCCGTGCCACGGCATAAGCTCACTTGGCACTTCGTGCCAGGTGAGCTAAAAATGATACATTGTACTGCCATATATTAGAATTGCATTAATGTAAATCAAGCAGGTACTAATTGTAATGGGGGACCAATACAGAAGTCCCCCAAACTGCCCCCATAGTCGCAAAGATACATCAGAAAAGGATCACAATGGCATAAAACACCTTCATACTAAATTTGAGTGAAATCGAACAATATCTGAATTTCGACCAATCTGAAGCCTTCATGTTGTTGGTATGGCAACGAAAGCTATGCAGTTGAATTAGCAGTTCCCTAATACCACTATATACCAATTTTCATAAAAATCAGACAATAAATAAATTTCGACCATTCAGAAGCCTCAATGTGGTTGCTATGGCAACAAAACCTATGCAGTTGAATTCGCAGTCTCCTAATACACCTATATATCTATTTGTATCAAAATCGAACAATATATACCCCATAGTCGCAAAGAAGCATCAGAAAATGATCGCAATGCCTTTATACATGACAAATTTGGAATGCATTGGAAAAAATATCTATAAAACATGTAAAATAGGATAGGTGACATTGGCTATCTTTAGCAAACACCTTTAGAAATTTTAAATTCCCAAAAATTTCAAAAATTCATGGTGACCATCTTGGATGGTAATCGGAAAAACAAAAAAGTGTTTGCACATCTAAAGGCTATCAGTAATAATCCCTCAAAGTTTGGTGAAGATCTGACTTAGAAAAGTGTTGGATACCTTTACGGAGGAAAACAGAAGAAGAAAGAAGAAAAATAATAATAAGAATCGGAGAAAAACAAAAAGTACCCAAACGAATTAATTAATAAATGGTGAAATTGTGTAAAATAAATTAACTATAAACGATTAAAAATTGACATTTTATAATAAAACCATATACACATAGTAATTGCATGTAAGAGTTATCTTTCTTGAAAAATTCTTGAAAAACTTCATAGTAGTGCAATAGGTAGCCGGTTTCCTGAAGTTCAGAATAATGGACACATGTGACTCATTGATAAAAAAAAACCTGAATGAATGCCTGGATTGCTTTGAAATACTTTAATATTGAGAGAACACACTGTTCTGTCAATAATAAACATACAATATTCATCACAACTCTAGACTCATTAGAATATGTGGAAATTGTGATACTGTCTCCCTACATTGGATCTTTAACTAAGGATGTACTTCCTATTACCGTTTATCAATACACTCATTCGACGTTAAAGCACATTTGAAATCACAGAAAAAAAAAGAAAAAAAAAAAGTTTTAGAAGTCTGTGTTATAATACGGTACCAGATTTGAAGAACCTGTGGCAGATTTTAATAGGATTATGGTCACCTTCTGGCTTCAAGCTAGAGGGAACTTCCCTTGGGCTCTGTGGTAGAGCGTCTGACTAGGAAGTCTGGGATCTTGGGTTGGATCCCAGGTGGAAGCACACTATTCTCTTTCCTGTTACAAATGGTATATGTGGCCCTCCCTGTTGTGACCTGGGTTGTGGTGTTCAAGGGTGAACACATTTAAAAAGGGGGGAGTAGTTTGGCAGATTTTAATTGTACAGTCACAGGATTATGATCGTCTTCGAGCTACTGGGAATTGTCCTTTAGCTCAGTGGTAGAGCGTCCGACAAGGAACCTAGGGATCGTGTGTTCGATCCCCAGTGGATAAGCACACTATTTTCTTTCCTGTTACATACCTATATTTGTTCATCAAAAAATGAAACTGATCAGCAGATGATCCGTGAAAATTAAGTGACCTACGCCAGGTCGGGTAAAACCACTAACTTGCGTAAAATACGATCCATGTGCAACATGTGTGTGAAAGTGACGATTTGTTTCTAAAATATCAGTTTGAAGAGCAACCCAGGCGCGGGTTGCTTTTTCCCTGCATATTATAGAGGAACAGAGTTCTGACGTAAATCAATGACAGACCGATAATAAAAAAAGTCGATAAAACGTCAGAATGATTCTGACTATATTTCAGGCAGAGTTACATCAAGTTTCTAAGTAGCCAATGTTTTCAGTAAACATCATTTAACAAAGTATTATTAACCTTGTCGTAAATTAATGATTTTTAATAATATATTGCAAACGTTAATGCTAAAACGATTTGGGTTATTTTTAGTAACAAATCTATACTCCAACTGGCGTATAAAATCAAAATCAAATCGTTGATTTTTTTATTTGATTTGAGTTTAATTTGCGTATTATACGCAAGTTTTTTGCATGGTGGTTTTCCCCAACCTGTACATCGTGAATGGAAATATGGTTTCAAAGTAGTTGGAATATAACAGGAATGTTATAAACGTAATTATTCAACTCATATATACAGCTGGAATTGTGGTGTGTTGAACTGTCGGTCGTGCTAGTTACTCGTCACTCAATGTGGATGCGAATCGTGGATGTGTTCGACATGTGTGATCATAAAACATTTTCATGTAGATCTGTATGTCATAATTATTATTTTATACTATTTTACCTTCCTCTTCTCAATCTTCAACTTCATGTATGCTGCTTTTCTAAGTTGTTTGTTCCTTATACTTGATATATTTGGTTTTGGGATCTCAGAAACAGCCATGCTTTCATCTTTGGAAGCCATGTTGGATTTTACCCTATTCGGAAGTTGTTTGGCCTTTTATAACATTCATAGGTGTTCCGAACAGTACAAAAGGTCTCCGGTGCCTGTAACATATCGATAGTATTGTAGTTGGAAATATCTACTGTTTCCTTGGTTCGTAATAATAAATTAAGGAAATCTACTTATCAATGCTGTCCTTTTTCAGTAAAACGTTTCATCTAATGTAGATATATTTATGACAGATAAAGGCTTTATTGGTATGAAACGGTCACAGGGACCTGCTCATTTGTTAGTTATATAAGGACCTAAATTAAGATGTTCAGAGTAATTTTACACGTTTAAGGGGTTTAAATTGTAATTTGCGGTATATATACGATCGGTGAGGGTGGCATTTTTACGGTTGTTACGGGTTGTTTCGCCCTCAATCCCGTTCGCCCTAGGTTGTTTCGCCCCAAAACATTTTTTTAGGGCGAAACATTGTTTGGTAGTTTCTATCAATTTTCGTAGTTTTAAGTCACAATTTAAGTTTTGTTGATCTTCCATATCATTTAAACCAATTTTATAAAAAAACAACAACACGTGTTTGTGTTGTTTTTAGCGAGTGTGAAAAACGGCAGCTGTGAAAAGCTGACTCTGCCCTCACACAGCTGCGTATTTTCCCCCAATATAGAAAGTTATCAATAAGTTTAGTTGATATATTCAAATATTAATTAATATATAAGCGTTTAAATTAATAATTTATTTTTAGGACGAACGGGATTTAGGGCGAAACAACCCTCAGTGCGAACGGGATTGAGGGCGAAACAACCCGTTACCCATTTTTCCCGAAAATTATCAGTCATTTCAAACTGAAGCTAAACATATTGACTGTCGATAGTTTTGGTATTTTGACATAAAACAATGTCAATTCGCATTTATGTTTTCAGGAAATAATTCAAAATAGATCGACTAAAAAAGAGCAAATAACTCTTAAGGAATTAATTTTGGGTGTTGCCCAAAATTTTAAACTCAGAAAAAGACAGATTTTTGCACTTATCTAAAAATAATAACTTAGAATTGTCACGTCGGTTTTACATATATACTTCATTCTGCCATCAAAAAATATATAGAACTTCTTTTTTGCTGAGATTGGGATACTTATACTTGCAATTATTTTTTTAAGAAGATGTTATCCTAAACTATGTCAAGCACTGCCGAGCGTAGAAAGCAAGAATTTATCGGACAATATTTCCATTGACAAAACACAGATCTTTGTCATTGTGAAATAGTATGCATACATACAAGGGCAACACCTAATGAAAAGGATGTACAACACGCTAAGCTTTTATGCTAACATTGGTTATTAATCACCTAATGGAGTGATGCTTCATTGTCTTTGATTTATTTTTAAATTGGTATGATAAATCACTCCTGGTGACCATGTGTATTTGGAAACCACCGGTGAAAGACAGGTATGTCTATCATGAAATATACTCTAACTTTGAAATAACACTTTACCTATATACCTAATTCCAACAGATGGTATAGTCCTCTCCCAACTGACAGGGTGATCACCACACCGTGACATTAGAACAATAAGATTAGGTATAGTCAGTCCGGTGAGCCTTGATCACTGAGGACCCCTACTAATATATATACCAAGCTATTTGGCATTTACGGCTTATAGAATATGTACCAAATAATTTGGATGAAAAACATTAAGTGATGTTTGCACTGTGTGATGTTTCACCGCGTATGAACCCCTCGATATGCACGTGCCGAATATTCATGAGGTCAGCCTCGGTTCAGATCTGAGCCTGTCGTTTTCTTTCATGTTAAACCGTTTCAACTGGTTCAACCGGATACGCGAACTGGCCTCGGGGCATTAGTTTAACGCGATCGAAACGGTTGTACCGGTTTGACCAGACTTGTTCGTTTGTGAACTAAGGTCAGACATAGTAATCTGTTGCTGCTTTCAAGCGGGCTTTGACAAAGCCCTGCAAGGCTGCAAAAACATTTGCTTGTCCGCCAGGATTTTATCCGAAAATGATAAATTAAAAACAGACAAACCGGTTGAATCGGATACGCAAAAGGGGCTTACATTTCGTGTATCCCGATTGGAACGGTACAAACGAACGCACATGGACCGTTCTATAAGCAGAGCTTAAATGCACAGTTTCGGAGTATAAATAACAACGTATCAAGAATAGTATGCCCTTCTTTCACGTGTCCACTGAATTACATAACATATCTTAAAAAAGGACCTATGGTTTGTTATTGTTAAAGAAAGAAATATCCGCGCAAAAAAGCAATTGTCTAACCCGGGACTTAGATAACTAATCTAAGTCCGTGGTCTAACAGAGCATTTACGTTTCGGTCAGGTACGTCTGGAAACCTCAATACGGTAGGTGCGGTACCGATATTCCTGTGGTCATCCTCGGTTCAAATCTGTGCCTGTTGTTTCTTAAAACATGTTTAATCGGTTCAACCGTTTCAACTGGATACGCCGCGAATGTAGCCCTATGGTCCAACCGGTCCAACCATTTCGACCGCGATAATATCATTAACCTGAATAATTCATCAGATCTAGTGAAGTGCGTATATTTTTCAAGTTTACATGATCATATCCGGTTGTTTACTTCCGCTTATGCAACTCGCCAAAACGTGGTCGATCTGTCAGAACTATATAACGACAAACATGGCTTTTGCGGAAAGTGACACACTAGAATCAATCGGAAGAGTACTTCAAGACAAATCAAAACCTTTAAAGGATCGGTTTAGAGCCCTGTTCACGCTGAAAAATCTCGGAGGAAAAGATGCTATAGATTCAATCGCAGCCTGCTTTGACGATGAATCGGCGCTATTGAAACACGAGCTTGCTTACTGTTTAGGGCAGATGCAGGATACGTATGCCCTGCCTACTCTCACAGGTGTCTTACAGGACACACGACAGGAGGCTATGGTTAGACATGAAGCAGGTACGTCAGATATGAATTTATCAGCCATAAAATAATAATAAGCAACTGGCCATGGGTTTACAGGAGTTTGGCGTTACAAGCCTATAGGGGATATTTTTCATCTAACTGTTACATTGATGTAATGTCAAACCACTGAGTCTTTAAAGTTGTTAAGAATAAAAATGGAAATGTTTTGACCTCAAATATTTCCGGGGTATTGCTGATAGGCTACATGTATATGGAAGTTGAAACACGCGGTGCACTGTCTCGGGGGAAATAACAAAATCATGACAATAATAAATAAATCCATAGACCGCATTAATCAGTTATAATATTCAGCACGAATATGTATGCCATGTCAACATCAGAATTAATTGATAGCAGTATATGTTTGTACATGCAGCAAACTTGATGTCACCCTATCCAACATGATTTCTGTATAACACTCTCTGGAGTACACCAGTAACTATGTGTAATATAACTTGGTTACTCTTTTTTGTCTGAATATCACTAAGTGACAATGCTATTTTGTATATCCTGTAAAATCGTGTGTGTCATTGGGCATAACTGTTATACAAAAATGTAACAGGAAAAAGAGAAATCTAACGTCCAGACTGTTGTTCAAACCAGTCAGGACCCTGCTGCATACTCTAGACAGACACTTGATGAATTAAGCTACCTGGTCGCCAATGATCGACCCAGTCCAGTTCTGCTACATTCCTCCCACCTTTTTCTAAGTCTTCGCCCCCAAAGACAAAGTACACTATAATTACAATTCCGGTTCGGCTATTCCCTTGCTAAGCATTCACCAAATGCTTGAAACAAGAACACTCTACATATTGAGCTACCTGATCTCTGACGATTAACCCAGTCCAGTTCCACTACAATCCTCCCTCCTTTTTCGAAGTCTTTGCCCCCAAAGTCACAACTATATACAACTCGGGTTCAGATATCCCCTTGCTAAGGGTTAGCAAGCTTGCCAATTTTGTAACAGGAGAAAGAAAAATGTAACAGCCAGACCGGGTTCGAACCCGGGACGGGAATCTAGACTGATGCTCTATCAATTGAGGCTACCTGATCGCTGACAATCAACCCAGTCCAGTTCCACTGCATATATGTATTACATATTTAATAATAAAAAATCATCTGTACAAAAAGAAAGATTTCGAAGTCAAGTCACTACAAAACTCTATCAGACTTAATAACTAGGTTATTTGGTCAGTGTTGATTGATGCAGCTCTGATCTAGTGCAGTCTATTTAGTATTAACTAGCCTCCTATTTAAGCGTTTTCATTGACAAAACAAAACAACAACTTTCTACAGTACTTATACACCATTTAACTGAAGCAGCAAAGAGACATTGCAAAAGTCAAGACTAAGATTTGCATCTTAGACCTATCCTCTAAACTTGATTATCAATGATAATTATATTTACCAAATAAATTCAGATGTATAGGAGGCACGGTAGTCTAGTGGTAGGACGCCGGGCTCGTGACCGAAGGGTTGCGGGTTCGCGCCACGGCACGGCAATATGTTGTATCTTTGAGCAAGATTCTTTACTCCGCTTGTTCCAGTCTACTCAGCTGTAAATGAGTATGTGGTTGGATAGTGCTATAATTCTTGAATGCTAGCTGTTAGCGCCGAAATGGCAGCTCCGGCTGTATGCTCCACAGGGAGTTGAGAAAAGTATTGGCTGGTTGTAAAGGCCCTATAACCACGGATACTAATTTGTGAACCACTTTGAGACGACCTAAGAACTAGATTGTGATAAAGCGGTATATAAGAACCTCAAATTATTATTTAATTATATAAATTCTGTATATGGCAGGATGACTCAACCGAAACCATCAGAGGTTAGTTTAGTAATGTGTACATTACTACATTGTATAGGTATATAACTTTTATAGCAAAATGCCTCAACCTTAATCTGTAGAAATTTTATCATTTTACTACATATTACCTTTGAGGTTGATATGTTCGGACCTCAAAAGACGTTGCAATTGTCATTTTTGTTATTAAAATTTATTATTATGTGTACTAAAAGATGTTGTAAAAAGACTTATATAACATTTGTATCTTTTGTTGATAGGAGAAGCACTTGGGGCCATTGGCTGTTCAGAATGCATTGAAGTTTTACAACAATATGCAAAAGATCCAGTAATAGAGGTTGGTATCTTGGATGAGTTTGGTGCGATGCAAGTAGGATGGTTTGCCATACACAATTTGTACCTGTGGCGTCCATCTATCCAATGACTTTTCCTTGTTTTTGCTTTTCTGCCTTTATTAACGGACATAATAATGAAACTTAAATATTCCATACAAGTATAGTTCAAAGCTTGCATTTCAGAAATTTACATGTTTTTCTAGGGCAGTTATATGTGTACTGAATTGTGTCTTGTGTCATGCTTTCTTCTAAAACATAGTTTTAGAATGTGAACCAAGGGAGACAATCCTTACACATTAAAATAGGTGAAGCTATAATTGAGCACCTTGTCTTATACTTTCAGCTACTGACATAAAGCACAGTATGCTTTCCCATTTCAGCTCATTTTAGAAAATGTTTTACTTAAAACTACAGAGTATATAGCAATGAATACTTAAGTGAGTACATTAACACTGCAGTCTAACTGGATATAAACACAACTGTACTGCATCTCATACAAATGAGAGTAGTTAGTCCCACGCCAGCAGTAAACTTGTTCACAATTGCTAGATCTATTTTTTTTTTGTGTTCCTATTACAGGTGGCAGAAACCTGTCAGCTTGCACTGGAAAGGTTAGAATGGTTGAACAGTGAGAGAAGTAAGACAGAGAAATTGTCGACCAATCCATATTCATCAGTAGATCCAGCCCCTCCTAGTGTTTCCGAAGACGTCAACAGCTTGAGAGATGCCCTTCTCGATGAATCATTGTCCTTATTCAAAAGATACCGGGCCATGTTTTCTCTCCGAAACAATGGCAGTGATGAGGCAGTCATCGCCCTGGCTGAAGGTAGGTCTAAGAAAAAAGAGCATGACTTTCATTTTTTTCTGATTATTTACTGAAATGAAAGAAGTCACTGTCGGTAAAAAGAAAGATTTATTTCATCAAAACTTTGGACTTGTTCACAATGAGAATTGATGTCCTGACAAAGTTGAGTACTTAAAGTACCAGGTATAAATATTTAAAAGAAGCAAATACCTGTACATATAAGTGTGCAGACATGTTTGCTTCGAAAGTGATAAGACTTGAGAGATTTCAAAAGGTTTAAAAAGCTTCTAGAGAGATTAATAGGATCTGCAGACAGTCCTTTTACCTTGCACATACAGAAGTTTCTTAGGCCAAACAAATTGTGTGTAACAGGTATCCTGACCTACCCTAGGTATTTCTGCTGACCTAGAACTTTTTATTTCCTATTAGTATCCAAAATTCATTTTATTATCGAGGCAAAGCTCACAGTCACTCATTAAAATTATTTTCGACATTATTGGAGCCTGACCCCTTTCTTGACAGCTTAATTAATAGTCACAGTAATGTGTGGAAATGCATTTTAAAATTTTATATAATGCATCATATTGATCTTACTGGCCTACCCTATTTATTTCTTGCATGATACCTGACACATGCATAATTTTTGTTTTCGCCTTATTAAAACTAACACTGGAATAGCATTGTGTTGTCATGGAATTCGATAATCTTATTTCATGGTATTATTCAGAAAGTAATTAATTGATGACAGTTTTAGGTTACTTTTGGACAATGTCCCTTTTATTTATCCAGTGTACATTGTTTAGCATTAATAAATAATAATGATGATTATCTTTTTAATTTTTCAGGTTTAAAGTGCAAAAGTGCATTGTTCCGACATGAGATAGCATATGTGCTTGGTCAGATGCAGAACAAAGTTTGTGTCAAACAGCTGTCAGAAAATCTGAAGGATAAGGGTGAGAGTTCCATGGTGCGACATGAGTGTGCGGAGGCTCTGGGCTCCATTGCTACCGAGGACTGTACGCAGATTCTGGCTGAATATTTAAAGGACTCGGAGAGAGTGGTCAAGGAGAGTTGTATAGTGGCTCTGGACATGAGTGAATATGAAAACAGTGGTCAGTTTCAGTACGCTGACTCGCTAGTCAAAGCCCAGAGTGTTGGGACAGAAGTGAATTGAGGAAAATTAAACATTTCAAAATGATACAAATGTATTTTTAGTCTCTTGTGATAAGTTCATTATGTTAATGGACTACATTACATTAAAACTTATACAGAAGTTAAATATGTCTCACTGATGCATAAGTTAAAAACTTAACTTAACTGTACTCAAAGTGTGGGAGGTATTTGATTAATATCATACCCCAACCCAAGTAAGGATGACAAAATATTTAGTTTGTGAAAAACTGTTTGCCCATCTTGTAATTTGATAATTTTCTGAATAATAATAATAGCTATTTATATATAGTGCTCTATACTGCTTAAGCTAGCAGCTCTAAAACTCTTTAAAAATTATTATAAAAGACATAAATATTTATCAGTTAATTAAAACTGAATAAATATATATATATATATATACAATAAAATAAAATGTTTACCGGTACACATAGACAATTGATATAAAAAACTTAGCCCTATTCACAAGGATACAGTTTCGGCACTGCATCTTCTTTGGATGTGTCCTATCTATTTCAGTCAGGAACTTGAGGAAACCCAGAAAACATACCCACAAGATGTTCTTATTAGCAATGGGGTATAAGAAGTTTGCATTAAATATTAAATTTGTATCATATTAAAAAAAACCAAAAAAAACAGCACTAATAATATCACAAATATGCAATAAACAGTTTCAAATTAGAACTAAAAAACAAATAACAAACTATTATAAACACTCAATAGTACCAAACTTGAATAATATTTAACACAAAAATATCGAAATTGTGTTTGAAGTTGAAAATAAGACATTAAAAATGCTGTAAACATCTTATATCGCAATTGTATACCAGTGAAAGTAAAATATCTTGACGAATACAGAATCCAGATAGCAAAACATTGTATAGTTAAAGTAAAAGATTACCAGAATATACTGTGAATACTATACATAAAATCGTCTCTAGTTGAAGTAATCACTAAAAGTACTGTAAACATCTAATATTAAAATAGTATACAATCACCAAAAGTTAAATATCGGTAAAATACTGTAAACATCCAAAATCAAAATCTTTTACGTTTGAAACTAAAAATTCAGACGAATTCGCAAAAAAAAAATGGAATATTAACTGCACCATGCCAATCACTGTAATGCAAACAATGACAATTAGTTTGCAGTATTGAAATTAAAGTCAGATGTACTGTATATACTGTATATATCTGATTTATTGGATCGACTGTAAACAGGATAGTAGCCACATATATATTACTTATAGATATTATCAAAATCACGAACGTGATCATTAAATAATTATATATATTTTTTCAAAAAATATGGCTATATCAATTTCTAGCTTTCAGTTGGAAGCACTCTCACACTCTCAACACCGTACTAAGAATTATTGTTTAAAGTAGATACTAAATCTTGAGCTAGGATATACATATTGTAAAATGCAGTTATATATCGCCATTCCTAGACCGTTAATTTTGTTAATGTTGATAAATATCTAGCCAGGGTTATTTTGTGTGGTATTCGCCACTTGGACCCAACACTGAAAAATTGATTTAATTAAGGGTGAGGGTTAGGGGTTGACCCTAACCCTAACCCATTTAATGTGGACCTAACTGAGGTGTTCATAGTAATGTTGCATGTTTTTGGGTATTTGATCGACTTTCGGTCAAAATATCTTCCTCCACAAATGATCATATATACGTGATGTGAAAAAATAACTCTGAGCACCTTTTATTAACTACTTTAGGTAGGAAATTAGATTGCTATCTAAGTCCATGGTTTGGGTCCTAATATAGCTGTAACAATTCTCAGGTCCCTGTGGTAGGGTGCACCTGACATATAATGGAACTGGTCATGCATGAATAAGGAATTTCAATACAAAGTTCCATGTTAACCAAGCGGAACGACCTCTGCACTCCGATATTAAATCTTTAAAACCAAACATTGGTTTTTATCGACTGTAAATGACCAACTTGCACGTTCATATCGAAGATGCTGCGTTTATTTGTTACAGTAGACACACTGCATACTTTTGTCTCATAAAGTTGTCGGAGATAATTAATATGTAAACACGGGTAGTTGTTTGCTGTTCATAGGTGATAATGATCTCTCGCTTGAGGTTACTTTGGTAATAGCAAGCTGATTTTGGTGATATGTTCACCTCTGTGTCGACATCAACAATTAGCCTGAGGCTGTTTGAGGTGAACGGGTCTAAACACTGTCAAATGATCACGAGTCCCGTTTTGACCAGCTAATGAATATTTTGATAGACCAATAACCGTATGCTCTGACACCTCCTTAAAGCGGACAAAAATGGAGCCTCTCCTTGCTGTAAATAACAATTGTACATTGTACTGTTTGTGACGAATGTTTCCGGAAGAAATAGATCAGACTGTAACAGTTACCATGTTGATATCATTTGAATTGATGTCTATTTCATTTTCCAACATCACTGATCGCTACACGAAATATTTATGAAGACTCGAGCTCTTTGGTCTCAGATTTGTTAAAAGTGCATAGCGGCTATGAAAAAAAAGAGGACAAGAAAAATGTATTATCATTAAATGACTTCGTTTTGTAGAGGACTGAGGACATTACGAACGTTACAAAACCAAGGTCGCCAATATCCTTTTGCTCTATAATTTATATAATTGCCGGATTTGAGAAATAGGAAGGAAATAGAACTAAGAAAAAGAGAAACTCCAACAAAAGTATTGCACACGCCCACAATTAAGAAAAGAAAGAATATATTAAACAATTTATAACTCATGAGTAAACCTATAATTTATTATCAATACTTATGGTGTTAGTTATTGTCCAGAGCAATCGGCTTAATTCTGTTACATTGTATGTTGTATCTAGAAACAACTTAACCTTTATTGCATAAACATATTTCTACCGAGCTGACATTTATAAGATTATCATTATTCGGCGTTTAGTATATATAATTATATATAACGATGCAGTTAACATTCTTGTATCTTGGTCCACCTGACGAAAATCCCGTTCACTCATGAACCGTGTGAAGAACTAGCTATAGACTAATCACATTCCCCGTGGACATAACGTCAGGTCCGAACCAGATATCATCAACATTACCGAGACGGACGAGCGTACAAGTGGTCAATTGTGTGTATCTGATCAAAGTCTTCATTTATTGTTGTTGACCAGTTACAAAATGTACAAAATCGTCCGACTTTATTGACATGGCATGTGATTGGTTGTACTTCATATTTATTATTTCAACTTCCCTCGATTATTTGGAATGTTCAGGTAAGTACATGCACTAGACTGTAATTAATTTGATGTGTCTTTCAAGGATGTACAATAGACGGGATCGTACTATCCAAAAATAGACAATACAATGGTGAAATTGATTATACAGTGTACCTTGAAAACTTGGGGTGCGAAACACCAGTGAAAATATGTTCATGTCACGAGCTAAAACCTACAATAAGTCCGCATTGATCAGTTTTAATATTCATGAATTAAAACACCATTTACTGGTAATATTGTTAGATTGGGGTGTCACGTGCTCCAGTAGTAGCTAAGGTCAGGTTAAGACAGTTACCGGTAAAAGGAATCCTGGTCAAATACAACTGGTAATACCTTTAAGCTTACATGCAATAGATAAGGTCATTATAATACAATAAATGTAGCATTTAAATGTATGGTATATTTTAAAATTTTGACGACAATCAACTTAGTTACATAATTTACATGGTTTATTCAAATGTAATTAGCGACTGGATATCTAAGTTTCGTTGCCTGACTTTGAATCTATATTGCTAATGCATGTTGCCCGAGTGTAGGTAGTTAAGATATTCTGAAATCATTTTTCTGTTGTTATGATATTTATATTACATTATAAAAGAAGACATTTACTGTGAAGTGACTGAACTCACTGCCCGTTAAACGTCGTACGACGTCACGTCGCTAACAACCGAGGATTTTCATTTTTCTTATTAAATTCTGTTATCTATTTGAAAGGATTATTTTTCACTATAGAAAAAAAACCAATTTGACAAGAAAGACTTTGAATAAAAAGGCAAATACATTCACGATAAAGCTGCCACTCACCACTGTATATTCATATCGATATGTTAACTATCTCATTATGTTAAACGTCATTCAGAACTCGCACAACTAAATCAAACAATCAGTCAGTGTTTCGTACGATTGTAATTCCTGTCTAAAAATGTTTCGGTTAAATACAGTTCCTCTGAGTAATTTAGATAGTTAATTGTTGACATATATTTCATTGCATAAAATCTTAAGATATTTAACTGTGGAAAGAATGTATTATTATAGTAGATTTTAATATGCGATAGTGGAGTTATGTGGGATCAAAAGTCGGGGAGCGTTCCCGTCCCGCTGCAGCGGTTAAGTTTGTAAACTTCCGGTTGTAAAATTTAGCATAAGCCTGTATCTTACATGCCATTAAACTTGCCAAAAGGTTCTTTTGGAGACTTTGTCAGGTATGTATCTATGAATCTCGACAGTTGTCACTATAGCCCGAGTTTCCTCTGGCCCTAACACCAGACATTTTGACATGTATATGTCCCACTTCAGACATCTAAATGTCTAAATCTGGTGTTTGGGCCAGGGGAAACTGGGGCTATTGTCACTAGTGCTGAACTTTAGATATTAAAGCTTTTCGCTCAAAAGCTCAGTATTAACATATTCATGTAGTAAATGATTTAGTGTACACACTGTTGTTGTTGTTGTTGTTGTTGTTGTTTGGGGGGGGGGTATAGAAACGGGGTCCATGCGTCCATGCACCTGGTTAAGAAGAATTGTTCTCATCTATATCTTGTCTTCTACAAGTGCTATGTTGATTATACTTGCATCAATTGTGTATCAAGAGTTGCTGTATTGAATTGCTTAGCGGATGCTGATTTTGACCTATATTTTATGCTTCATTGACTTAGTTAAGATGAATTGCTCTCATCTTCATGTAAGGTTAAGATGAATTGCTCTCATCTTCATGTTAGGTTAAGAAGAATTGCTCTCATCCTCATGTTAGGGTAAGAAGAATTGCTCTCATCCTCATCTTAGGTTAAGAAGAATTCCTCTCATCCTCATGTTAGGTTAAGAAGAATTGCTCTCATCCTCATAATAGGTTAAGAAGAATTGCTCTCATCTTCATGTTAGGTTAAGAAGAATTGCTCTCATCTTCATGTTAGGTTAAGATGAATTGCTCTCATCTTCATGTAGGGTTAAGATGAATTGCTCTCATCTTTATGTTAGGTTAAGAAGAATTACTCTCGTCTTCACGTAAGGTTAAGAAGAATTGCTCTCATCTTCACGTAAGGTTAAGAAGAATTGCTCTCATCTTCATGTTAGGTTAAGATGAATTGCTCTCATCTTCATGTTAGGTTAAGATGAATTGCTCTCATCTTCATGTTAGGTTAAGAAGAATTACTCTCATCTTCACGTAAGGTTAAGAAGAATTGCTCTCATCTTCACGTAAGGTTAAGATGAATTGCTCTCATCTTCACGTAAGGTTAAGAAGAATTGCTCTCATCTTCATGTTAGGTTAAGATGAATTGCTCTCATCTTCATGTTAGGTTAAGAAGAATTGCTCTCATCCTCACGTAAGGTTAAGATGAATTGCTCTCATCCTCATGTTAGGTTAAGAAGAATTGCTCTCATCTTCATGTTAGGTTAAGAAGAATTGCTCTCATCTTCACGTAAGGTTAAGAAGAATTGCTCTCATCCTCATGTTAGGTTAAGAAGAATTGTTCTCATCTATATCTTGTCAACTACAAGTGCTATGTTGATTATACTTGCATCAATTGTGTATCAAGGGTTGCTGTACTGAATTGCTGAGCGGTTGCTGATTTTGACCTATATTTTACGCTTCATTGACTTAGTTAAGAAGAATTGCTCTCATCTATATCTTGCCTACTTTAAGTGCTATGTTGATTATATTTGCATCAATTGTGTATCTAGGGTTGCTCTACTGAATGCATATTGCTGATGCTGATTTTGACCTGTATTTTACGCTTCATGGTTTTAATGGCTTTTGCACTGCGAGCGGGGGAGATCGATGGCAGCGTCTTCGTGTTTGTATTGACTTTGAAATCACAAATATTTTGACGGTTTAGTCATAATTATAAGAAACTCGTTCCTCTTCAGAGAACCTGTCTCGTCGTAGTACTACGGTGACGTCACAAAGCAGTAACTATGCAGAGAATATGTTCCTTGCGCATGACGCAGTTGATGGCGATGGAAGCACGTTCTCCCTGACGGCTCGAAACCAAAACGAGGCGTGGCTCCAGGTCGACCTTGGGTTCGCAGCCCGTATACAGGAAGTCGAGGTGTTACACCGGTGTGATGTCACGTGTGAGTACATATGAATAAGTTGTAATCATGATTTCATTTGGATATTCCAACCATTCTTTATAAACTTGCTGATACCGTTTTCGGATGTGTTTTATCTATTAGGGGCCTTCTTCAGATATTCGAAACTTCAAGCTAAGGAATTCTAAGAGCCACCCTTATAAAATAATTGTACCAGATGAACAAGAAATGCATTTTTAAACACTAAGTCATAAACTTCCTACGTAAAGAATTCAATTTGTTGGATAATGTTAATAATTATATAATATGCAGTTTTTCTGTTCATTTATTGGATTCCTAAATAAATATTCTTAAAACAAAATCCTCTATAATTTTTGAACAAAGACTCTTCATTTAATCACATATCCATTCATACTCATTCCCGCAGCAATCAAAAATTAATCTAGGAAATAGTATAAAAACAAATTCGAAGCACCATTATTTTTAAAATATAACATTTGACGTCTTTAAACGGCATACCGTCATTCCGCGTTCTTGGCTAATTGCGTCTCAAAGGTTTCAAACTAATACTACTTCAGTCTTGTTTGTCTCATATAAAGATATGCTGTTGTCAATAGAGGTACCTTATTTTGTAAACATAACACTACAGCAAGGACAGTTACACTGACGAAGACTTTGTCCACGTGATCATCTATTTTATAGAAAGTTTTGTCGTAAATAAGTGGAAGATTTGTTTTAAAGACACGGTATTTCTTACTCAAAGTATACCCCACTTCTCTTACCTTTTTGTAAGGACAAAAAAGAAGAAGAGATAAAATACTTTCGCGATGCTTTCATTTCGCATTCAGATATTGTGATAATGTTTTGTGGTTACAGACAATTATTTCTTTTAATGACAACCATGGCGGTTGTTTTGGCGTCTACGAGTTCACTATAACTAGCTATCCTTTCCCCAGTATCAACAGTCAATGTGCTTATGGAGTTTACATACCACAGTTGGTTAGTTACTTTAAAGCTTGTAATTAGTGACAGGATGTTTTGGTTTTTAAATGACAGACATCTGTTGACGCTGAGAAATTTTTGTGGCGGGCAGCATGACCTGATTCCCACTGTAAGGTTGTGTTGTCCGCCATGTTTGATACTTGTCGGTGTGTCGTACATCGTTTGTGACCTATATTCTTTCCCTGATTTTAAGAGAGTTATTACGGCGTGTGACCCAAGGTGCAGGAAACAAATACCGTGCAGAATTGCATTGTTTTTCTTTTAAGATATACTGTAGGCGGTCTTTGCGTTTGGTGTCTCATGTGCTCCGGTTGATCTGGTTTTGTTTCGATGTAGAGTTTGGACTTTATGTTTCAATTTCCGTGTGATACACAAATTTGACAGAGCAAAATATAAAATGCTATATTGCAAACTATTCCTTTGATATCTATAACACTAAGTCATATTCAGCCGATACGAAAATTTGTTTCTTTGAAGTAGAGAAAAGGTATAACATGGATATAAAAAGGAGAACGGAAATAGACAAAGATGTTGCGTTTTCACAATTGACAAGTTTTATAATATGTATTGGTGTGACGCTGATCTAGGACAACGGATAGCTCCAAAGTTAAGACTTAATGAAGTTATACACAGACATTATTATCTCATTCTGTCGTTTTGCAGTCACTCGTCCACACAGATTCCACGTCTTTGTGTCCAATGTCTCCGACTTCCGGTTTGGAACTTTATGTCTCTTCGACACGGGAAATACTATCCCTAACCCTGTGTTACTGCCATGCGCACAGAGTGGCCGGTATGTGACGTTCTACAATGACCAGTCGACTTCAGAAGGTGGAAGCTCCTCGGAGGCATTTGTGGAACTGATAGAGTTCAGAGTCTTCGGTAAGTTATTATGAGTATTTGGAGTCAGTTAAATATGGGCTATTGAAGCTGTAGGGCATGTTATAACTTCAAGATAACTTTTATATTGAATAAAAATGTTAATAGGAAATGCGACAAGAAAAGCATAAAGCAACTTACATCATGTGTAAATATCCTATTCGAATCATATTCCGCAGTTTTTTTCTTAAAAATATTCATCTACACAAAGAAATATACTTAACATGAAATAAATGTATCGATAATAAGTATGTTTCTATAATTAAAAAGGCTGTGAGGCAAACAAATTTGGTCAGAATTCCTGTCTACAAAAATGTCACTGTGCATCTGGCTGTAACCCTAATAACGGCGTGTGTGACGTGCCCGGATGTACTGCAGGCTACAGAGGAACAAAATGCGACCAGGGTAAATATGTATACATATAAGTAATGCGCTTGTGTTATTGAATTGTTCGTGGTTAGGAAAGAGTAAAGCTCGCAGATTCTGTACATTCGGATTACAATGAATGACAATTGGAGTCATTGTCATGCAAATTCTCATAACGAACGGTTTTTTTTTTTTTTATCTTCAGGTTGTGACAATACCTCTTTTGGCCCAGATTGTAATCACACGTGCCACTGTTCGACCCCCGGATGTGAACTCGTCATCGGACTGTGTAACAAACCCGGATGTAAAGTTGGCTACGTTGGTTCAGCATGTGAACTTAGTACGTAAAGTCTACGTATACATCAAAACAATTTTACATTGAAACTTACAAAAAGAGATGTCTTGTTAAAATTTGAATATTAATCTTTATAGTCTTCATTAAGATATGAGTGATAATTTTGAAATCACTAGGAATGGAATATTGTAAGTAATAGGTCAAAGAAAAAGTGAAATTTAAATGTTTGCAAATACACCGTGGTAAGATTTAATATGTGGTTTAGTATTGAATTTAGTGATATATATCTGCAACAACAACGTATTTTACAGCTTGCGAGGAAACGAACTTTGGAGAGAATTGCAAGCATGAATGTCACTGCAAGACGCCGGGGTGTCATCACGTGACAGGAATGTGTAACACGCCCGGATGTGAAATGGGTTATTCGGGACAAACATGCAGTAATGGTAAAACTATTATTCAATTAAGATTGATCACTACGTCAATCGGAAATCTATCATCGGAACTCATTTTTGCGGTACAAGGTAAATACTAAAAGATTATTTACTATTTACTACATGTTTAAAAAAGTTTTAGTGCGTAAGATGAAAAGTAATTTAGAGGTAAGTTACACATCCTCAGAACCAGTGTTTTTGTATCAACGCCATTGTATTATGACTTAATCTGATAAATTAAAATACCAATGCCACTTGTTACAGGCTGCGAACGACAACAATTTGGATATAACTGCGAAAATACGTGTAACTGCGCCTCTACCGGATGTGACGACATCACGGGGGTCTGTAAAGAACCAGGATGTATGAAGGGATACACGGGCGAATCGTGTTACAAATGTAGGTATACACATAATACATAGGCCTTTGTATCAATGAAATAACTCTATGTACAAGAACGCTATGCAATAGAAGGGCAATAGATTAGCAGTTAAGTTGATTGGCGAGCCCGCAGTGCACATGCTATCGTGATGAACGTCACAATATATGAATGCATTGTGAATTAATTGATGTCAACATGTCCGTCTGGGATATACAGAATAGATATGTTTTGAGTAATCTGTTTCAATTTATTGAACGTAAACAACTTTCATATCATACATAAGAACAATCTTTTAAAAAGATATTATGATCACTTAATTTATTTTCATTACTCAGCTACCGACGAAAATGACTCGCCTGCACGAGCTGGGATATCGTTTGCGTTCCTCCTCACTGTTATAGGGATATGTGGTGTATTCGTCCTCATCCTAATCCTGAGTATAGTTGTTTGCGTAAGGTAACTAATTATTATCATACAAATATTGTCGACTACAATTGTAAAACAATTTGTGAGAACAAAGTTTTATTAGTATTACGAGAATAAAAATATTAGTTTATGGCAATTGTTCCCGTTCTTCATACTGATTGGCTAATACCAAATTAAATATTGAAGAAAATATTGACTATGGTATTTTCAAACCTTTTTTCCCTGTATGATCTAGGAAGAAAAAGAAGAAGAAGCGCTCTCCGTACGACGTATATGAGCACGCCATATCTACAGCCAACCGTCCAGGTAAACGGTTAACATCATTCGGTTCGTCGGTTTATGTTTATCTGTGCGAGAACTCGTTCAATATCTTCTGTACTAAAGTTAATGCAAAATACTTGCAAACAATACATTCTAAAAGATAGATCTACATCATTTTCTCTCACATGATTATGCAACGTTTGCTGTTTGTTTGAAATATTTTGATTTTTTTTTTCTGTAGCTTGTGTGTTATCTCATTTCTTGATATACACGTAATCTCCAAATTCTGCAATACTATAATAACTTATTTCACTGTAGTAACTACTGTCTTACCAATGATCGACCATGTATATTCCTATTTTTCTTTGCAGATACAGGAATACATGGACGAACAAATTTTAGTCGAAATCGTGAGCAATTTCAAGCTTAATGAAAAGATGACATACTGACCTTCTTGTGGAAAGGGTCTGCAGCCGATGTTAAACGGAGCCATATTTATAGTTATGTATTTAAACTTTTATAGAATCTTTGTTTTCTACATATTATGCCTTATAAGGAAACATTCTTTTATTTTCCATGCATCGTAACGTATGAAATATGAAGGACCATAATTTATTTGACGTGTATCATGACTTTTCGAAACATGTTTTGACGTTTACTGGACACGTTGTATAAGATACAATACGAGGGACATTTAATAAATTCTGTCGCTTGTATCAGGAATCATATATATGATGTATATAGTTTGATTGTTTGTTTCTATTAGAATCCTTCGAGGTATCCCCCTTATCAGGAACGTATTTTGAGATCGCGCTATCCATGACATTGACGCTGCGCGGTGGTCTCCCCTTGGTATACCTGCAAGACACTGCCCAGAGCACTCCTAGAGGCATACCGTTTTTCAGCGAGCTTTTTCTTTAGTAATGGAAACAGGAAGAAGTCCAAGGGGCTTAGATCTGGTGAATAGGTTGGGTGGTCAGTCATTGCTATCTTCCCTTGCTTAAACAAACGCCTGTACAATTTTGTTGTTGGGTGATGAATCATTGTTGTGAATTAGCTTGATGCCATTCAACACTTTACTTGGACGCTTTTTTATGTATAATCTTTTGACAGACTTCAGTACTTTGTGTTTAACTTAGCAGTTATAGTTTTCCCTTCCGTGCATGGTATCAGATCCACATGCCATCTAGAATTGAAAAACACATGGTATACAAAACGTTCTTGGTGCTTTTTATACGTCTTGCAATCACTGGTCTTTTTATCTCTTGATAACCATTATTAATACGCCTCTGGTGTTCTCATCCCCTGTATGTTACTCTCTTGAAGCTCTCTTGAATCGCAATTATCATGCTTTTGCAATATATTTTAGCACATTTCAAACGTTTGACGTTTTGTTCAGATGTCAGCAAATTGGAGATCCATCGGGCACAAAGCTTCTTTAATTGCAAGCGCTTGGTCAGAATAGGATGTGAACTGCCTTCTGAAATGCCATCCATATGAGCTTTCTCAGATACAGTATCACGACCATCATCTTAATGATTGTTTTCACAGAAGCTATAAGTTTTTCTTTGATGCTGCAACTACCTGGCTGTGTGTCCTTTTAGATGTCACCTTTACCATTCTTTATCTTGTTCATCCATCCTACATGAAAACAGTTGTTCTCAATGAGAACAGAGGTGCTTTCTGTAAAGCACACTGTGCTTCGATGGAGGAGCATACTTCAGATTCTGTCTCAGTCTTCATTTTAGCATTGAAAGTAACTACTAGTCTCCGGATGCATACCAATTAACAATGAATAACTTGTTCAATTCTTTTCGGATGATGTCGAAAATGTGCACGTGTATTGTTCTTTAAATGTTTTGGAAGGCCGCCAAGGCGCTAAAGTATTGAATTGTCCGTTCGTACTGGAGCTGTGTGGTGACAGAATTTATTGAATGGGCCTCGTATTGAAATATTGTTACCCAACCCAGACTTTTGAAATTTTGTGTTTCATTTCGTTTATTTGGTGTCCCATTTATTACCATTCTCTAGTTGTATCTTAGTTAACACTTTATAAATGACCAATATAATACTCTATTTTGCGTGTCTACTAGCTGCTTTATAAAAAGTTCTTTTTACACAAGCAATAAGAGTTTCTATGTGACGTTTCGATGACTAGTACGGTATGTACAGTCACCTTAATCAGACAAGTGACCAGTGAAGCGTTTGTACACAAAGGTGTAAAATGTGTACGAGTTGTCCACAAAATCGATGTCGATTCGGCTACGCTGTAAGCGTATGTACACTAGTTGTTATGTATGTATTCAAATGACTCGATTCAGCTACGTTTTGTTTAATACTGGGTCATAGATGTGCAAGAGTCTATGAGTCCCCACATCTCGATTTAGATATGGCCCAATGCAGCGTATCCAGATGGCTTCCTTTATCTGCCGCTTGGACAGGTCATTTATCTGAGGTAGGTGACAGTGTACATACCGTACTAGTAATCGAAACGTCACATAGAAACTCTCCTTGGTGGCGTAAAAAGAACTTGTCATAATCCATACTTGAACCTGAAGAATCCAATCTGAAAAAAAATCTTTAGAAATACTTGCTGCTTTTTGATGGAGTCCCTTTGACCTCTGTTAATAGACACACGCTCTGGTGATACCTTAAAATACATTAATTGAAATCTTAAGACCTCTGTTGTTTTATTATAGTAAAAACAAAAATGGTGTTCCAGAAACCTAATAGGAAATATTATTATTTTTCTTCAAAACATTTGTTCCATTTAGGGTACCCACAAGTTAAGTTTGTTCAAAAGCAAAAATCTCTGTCATTCTAAAGATAGGAAAAGATAGTAAGACAAGTTTTATTTTCAATTAATGATAATCAAAGTTTAATGCCCTTTAAACTTTTGATCTTGCATAAAAGCTAGAAATAGCGTTATTCCTATGGAGTTCTTTGAGAAAACAGCCATTCCGGGTTGAGTGCACAGCACATACATTGAACTGTGTACAGTGGCATTGTACAATGCACAGTGTTGTGCAAGAAAGTTTAAGTTTGACGACACGTGCCAATTAAAGACACGTGCTATTTATCTTATAAACGAAATTAAATATATTAATCTTTGTTTTGATTTGTCGTTTTTCTTTACACACACACACACACCCACACACACACACACATACTCCATCAATGACATCTATAGTTATTAATATATTTATGATTTATATATAAATAAAAACATTTAACAACCTTAGATTCATTTCCGTTAGCAATCGGAATTGATCAAACGGGGATATTTTAATTAATGATCAAATGAAAGATAACCTGCTCTTTACAATTAAAATAAATTCCGTTGGCAGTTTGGAAATTATCTACAATACTGATCATGAGTTAATGAGGACGTGCCCTTTCAATCTGGTAATTATGATAATACACGGGATTTGACGTTTTACTTAGTTGGAATGACACAGGTGTTGAGGGACAGCACACATGGGGTTTATTATCTTCATACAATCTGAACACCTTCAAATGCCCTATATGAATTTAGCCTGCCAATGTAGAGTCACAGGCACCTCATAATTTTGTACAGCTATATCTGGACCTAAGCTAATGTGTAAAAGAGTAATTTTACACGATTAAGGGGTTAAAATCAATTTCCAGTAAAAATGCCACCTCCAATTGTTAACAACGTTATACCGACAAGCAGTTACACGTTTAATGTTATGCAACACTTATATGCAGTGCTAAATTGTATATATCTCGAGAAATTAATTGAATTATGATATCACGTACCACGGACTAATCTAATTCCGTGCACGTACTTAGAATTCCGTGATGATATTAAACTTTTTTTCCATTACAAAATATACAAATAAATCATTTCGATCTACTCCTGTAATCTATACCAAGGTGTGAAATTTGTGTACAGGTAAATTACACCAAACACACCCTGTGTCCAGTGCTGACAGCAGGAAGCCCAAAACACAAAGCAGAGACGTCGAATCTGTATGTATCTGCACAAAGGGATGTCAGCAGGTGGGAAAGGGGGTAGATTACGTAGATTATGTGTCTTCCAATTTTCCATTTAACAACAACGTCATCAGGCTAGATAAAGGGGAAATGAATAGGGATAATCTTCAAGGTAATAATGCATAAATAAATAGCGTAAACACAGTCACAGATTGTGTTACATTTTATGCAAACCAAAATCCATACAACTTGATATCTGATCAGGTGGTTCAATGATAAAGTACTAGAATTTGTAAGACTTGAACACGCTGATTCATCAGATGGGTGAAATGTAAAAATTGGTGGTGTGTATGCTTATTTCCTATTAAAAATGAAAGAAGTGTATTTGTTTAAAGAATGAAAATATCGAAAGTATTCCCTCCCAATACATCTATATCTAATGAAATAGACAAGACAACTTAGCCACACATTACGGTGCATACTTATACTCCTAGTGTTACGCGTTTTTATTACTGGGGGTAAAATTACATATAGGTTGCTTCTCTGTTTGAGTAAACATTATTGCACCAATGCAATTTTTCTGTCATTAAAGGAATGGGGTTCACGAACGTTTGACTCAATATTTAATCAATATGCTTTCTTTTGTCTAAAGGGATTCTTCATATTATCAAGCAATCAGTTGAATAATAAAAAATATGATATTCACAATACGTTCCAGGATTTCTTTGAGCATTCCCATTTTCGTGATATTTTCTCAGTACGTCTCTGGCGGAATAGCAAAGTTTATATTTGACTCCCAAGGTTTGAACAATTCGTCTCTCGACGTTCAAGTTATGAAATATTACACTTATAAAACTGATGCACCGATCTCCAAAATTATACCAATGTACCAAGTCTCGGTGATTTTTTGGGTAATCTATGTAACTCATTGAGGATCTGAGTATAATTATGTTTATATACCGTTTCACTATTTTCATCCAGATTTAAAACGATAAATTTATTGTTTAGATGAAATTTGCGATCGAAATTTTCTTTGAAAAATTCTCTCAAAAGGAAAGTTGTCTGACTTCTCAATTGCGGAATAACGTTTGGAAGTATCCAGCAGTGGCGGATCCAGAGTTTTTTTTGGGGGCTTCAGGACACTCACCCCCCACTCCACACCCTAAGAATTTTCTTTAAAAATCATGTATTTTCACCATTTTCCTCAATTTTTTCCCCACTTGGAACCACCCTGGAAATTTTGACCCCCCCCCAGATAGGTCTCTGGATCCGCCGCCACTGTCCAGTGCCTGATTTCCTGTATTATATACCTTCGGATAGAAACGTCATCATGCAGTTATACACATGCGGTGTCCCCTATATCAGAACTTATATAGAACATTATAGATATACAGATTAAGCATGGTATGATGTTGTTATTGATGTAAACTTACTCTGTAATGATGGCGCTAGTGTTTCTTCAGATGATAATAATACAATTGCCAAATCAGTACAAAATGTTCAATGTAGGACGGGAAGATTTGATTAATTCTCTGTTTCTCTATTTATACCCTCACCCCCACCCCCTTAATTTCTCTCTCCCACTCTCTTTCAACCTCCCACCGAATCCTCGATTTCACTGTGGTATGTCTCATCAATTTGTTTGTTTCTTATATGTATATTATCTTTCATGCCATCACGTGACCTCAATTGTAAATATGTTATGTATGTTATTTGGAGAAGTCATCTATAAGTTGGAAAACTTACTGACTAATCCTATTGTCATATTATATGTCAATAAAATAGGTTTAAACCAAACACATGCGGTTCGCGCCGTCCAGTGTTAACAGACTAGTGGTTTTAAGATATTTTTTAATTATCTCCTTAGGTTTTTGAATTAAGAACCCGCGTAGTTAATTCAGATACAATGTATGCGAAAATATATTCTTCTTTGAAAAATTGTACTGAGAAAATACTTTTAAATTGTTCATTGATGGAGAGACGTAATATATAAAATAAAGATAAAGCTGGTTAGAAAATCAACTGATTGTAAATGAAAAAAATATAGAGCTATAATTTTCTACAAAATAATGTCAATGAATTTCTGGCACACACAGGTTTTATTTTCATTTTCATACAAATATCCTTTACTCCGATAGAAATACTCGAAAACAATGTTCGATTCAAAAATAATTTTGAAGTTTTTAATATTTGGCCCTGCTGAGCGTCGAGCCCATTTGCTCGAGGCAAACGGGGCCAGTTGCGTATAGGTAAGAGTTACCCCCCTTTCAACCGATACAACAGAGGGCACTGTATTCCCAAGATGGCTACCACCAGTGGGCCACTCATAAACAACTTCGAAGTACCTTCATGGTTTGTAGCAAAAATGCGTGCCATTTTAAGAATGCATACCTAGTTTTAATCGGGAAACTGTTTGGTTGTGTTGTTTAACTATTAAGTGAGCGTGAATATATAGTCATTGCATATGATCAAAAGGAAACATGACAACTCATGATCATCATAACAATATTCTGTATACAGTACTCATGTCCACGAACACGAGCGTTATTTGCTCATGAAAGAATATGCTAACTTGTTTTAAAACGCAACACTTCAGTAATTTATATCGCATTAAATTTTGATAACATAAGGTTTGGAATAGAAATTAATATGTTCTGGACCTGTTATCTAATAAGTTACAGAACAGATCTAGAATAGCTATTTACCGTAATATCATGAATAGGACACGAGGCATCCCGATATTATATACAACGAAACTGGACCCCTTTATCCATCATAGAAAAGTAATTGCAGTCTAATGCACTGTCTAATTAATGCATATATGATGTTTTTCATATCACACTGAACAGGCCTGTTGAAAAAATGCACAGCCAGACCTACTACTTCAATATAATATTAATACCACAGGGGATTAATACCCGGTCTGCTCTGCCACAATATATAAAAAATTCTCTTGTTGTCAGAAGACATGTTATCTCAGCTAGGCCAGACCTGGCTTTGAACATGGGACACTCCGAACTCTAGACATATGCTCTACTTATTGTGTTACCTGGTTGCCGACAATCAGCCAAGTCTAGTTTTGCTACATTCCTCCCTCCTTTAAGTCTTCGCCCCTGAAGACGCAACCTTTTACAAACCAAGGTTAGGGTATCCCCTTGCCAAGCGTACACCAAATGCTTGAAGCAAGGGTTGGCCACATGCACCACTGTATCAGGAGAGAAAATATGCACTGCCAGACAGGGGTTTGAACCTGGGACCTCCAAACTCTTAGACAGACACTCTACCATTTGAGCCACCTGGTTGTCGACCGTTGACCTAGTCCAGTTCTGCTACATAAATAATATCCTCTAATGTAGCAATGGTGATAAAATATACAAGAAATGGACACTTTATGTATTATGTTGCAGTGGATAAATGCAGCAGGTCTGACCTGGGTTCAAACCTGGAGCCTTCCAAACTGGGATAGATAATCTATATTCAGATGCACTAATACCTAGTTTCATTTACCTCCTGTTGCCCCTCGAGCTCTCAGTAGTAAAATCTGATATAACACTTCTCTCAGAAATGCTAGAGAGCTGCTCAGAACCTACCAATATGTTTATACTTATACAAATACATATATGTATCGTATATATTTTAAAGTACTTTTAATCACGTTTAGGTATTTACAGACCGAGATATGTGTAGAAAATTTAAATATATTAACAAATATCGATGGATATTAATATCCTGTAAATTACATATTTTTTTTTATTATGTCTACTAAATAACAAACTGACTGCTTATGATCAGTAATTTACTTTATATGTATATCAAGACATAAATACAGCATTTGGTAAGCTTATTAATTATATATTAAATACATTTATGCCAACTTCATGTAGACTCATTTGCTGTTTGATTTGTCTCTCTTCAGGGCCAGTAAACCACCCACAGGTCTTCATTTAGATGTTTTAAAAGATGGAAAAATGATACAGGTATGTTGGATATCATTGATGCATGCATGAAATTCTGTTTTGTTTTTAGCTCACCTGGCCCGAAGTGCCATGTGAGCTTATACCGTACTGCGGTGTCCGTCGTCTGTCCCTCCGTCAACTTTTTCTTTTGAACGACTTCTTCTGAAGTACTGGAGGACCTAGTGTCACGACATTTGACCAGTAGGTAGATAGGATGGAGTGCTATAAAGTTTCCTCTTTAAAATGACCTTGACCTACTTTCAAGATCACAGGGGTCAAATATGTTAAAAAAAATCGAACAACAATATTTAAAGGACTATAAGGACTAGAGTCATGATACTTGGATATGTTATGTAGACCAGCAGTGCGAATCTTTTTCTTTGTCACAGTTATGAGGTCAAAGGTCAACTTTAAGTGCTAATCAGGGTCAAAGGTTAACAGCTTTAACAATGTTCTTCTCAAGTTCCATGAGGCCCAGGGTCATGATATTTGCCCAGTAGGTACCTAGGATGAATGCTATAAAGTTCTCATTAAAATGACCTTGACCTACTTTCAAGGTCACATGCGTCAACTACAACTTTTAACAACAATATCCTAAGAACCATTTGGTCTAGTCATGATATTTGGGTACGTTATGTAGACCAGATGTGTGAATCTTTTTCTTTTTTACAGTTATGAGGTCAAAGTCAAATTTAAGTGCTAGCCCTATGTGCCTCTTGTTGTTGTCAATATCAGAAATTTAATGAAATGTCTAAACAGCAAATCTGTAAATAACAGCAATTATCATATGTCAAATCGGTAAATTTGTAAAGTAAGTAATTATTATCTGTATCTACATTTCAAATGTTATTATGTGGGACGTAAGAATTATTTTGTAAGATTGGTCTTCTGGCTAGCTAGGTCAGGCCAATGTATTTTTCTGTGACCTGGAGACCATGGAGCTCTGATGAGAGCCATGCAGTCAGTATCTCTTCTTCATTACTTATACCAGATACTTTCAGTCAAAAACTTTGATATTGTTAAACTTTATCCTTAAGCATATGATCTCGTTAATAAGTTTCTCAAAAAAAATTATATTGGTAAAGAATTGGTTATGCCAGATATAGCATCAAATTCAACAAACCGCAGTGGCTTTATGGTTTATCATCCTCTTTTATAGGTATATGATATGCGCCCGTTCTCTGATAGCTATGACCCCCTTATTTGTCCCAATTTGTACATGTATATCAACTATTATATAGTGTCTGTCCTTCTGGATGATTATATGAATAACACATATTCATAAAGTATGATATATCAGACATTTTGACAGTGGTTAACAATTCAATACTGCTTTCCATTTCACAATTTTGACATTTGAAATTTTTTCGATATTCTTCAGTTTTGTCAATGAATTTGACAAATTTGACCCAGGGTCTGTTTCTCAAAATACCCTGATATATCATTGGGACATATTGTCATCTTATCATTAGCCCATTTGAAAAGGTATATTTAAACATAGTCTGACGACATTAATGTAAGTAGAGGCTACAAGGTTCCCACTGCTAATTCACAAGTACATGTTGTATATTAGCTTTGTAACACCCTATTTCCTTCCTACCATATATACAATACTATTTATATGATTTTGTAAGCTGTTGCACTTGAACAGAGGTTGTGTTTTCTGTACATCTTGTATAGCTTGTTTAAACATAACTTTAACACGAGTGCTACATTAAAGTGCTTCCTGGCTTGCCATTGTAGTTTATATTGGCACTAGGAATTGGCTACATGTATCAGCTGTTGTCTTGAAGAATAAGCAACATGTTATCCATAGCCACACATTGTTATGTATCATATAAACCTAAATGTAAATATTAGACGGCATTATAGGCTTTTGATGGCAGTCATATGTATTTTAAGCAGAAGAATAAAAAAGACTCGATTAAAAGTTTTGATAATCCCATTGATACTAGGCAAAGGATTCGTGTAACAAGAAAGGGGCCGAACTATTAAATACCTACATATATAGCTCTAACATTATATTTATAGATCAGTTTGCAGTTGATTTACCTTCTTGTTTTATTTGAATTCCCTATATGTATACCATATACTATATAATTATTTGTACAGTGTACTAGAATTGACCTGAAATTAATCGAACCTACTGTTGAATTGTGCATTTGCTTTTCACATGATGCCATTTACTTTTCTTTCAGAAACTTATGATAGATGAAAAAAAATGTTACTTCTTTGGAAGAAATAAACTGATGTGTGATTTCTGCATTGACCATCAATCTTGTTCCCGAGTTCACGCAGCACTGATTTGGCACAAGCATTTATCCCGACCGTTCATCATAGACTTGGGCAGCAGTAAGTGACTCCTCTCCTATACCTTTCTATTATACCAATTGTGCTATTTTTATTTCACCAAAAAAGAATTGTAAGTTTTAGAACTACATTTTCTTGACAAGATACGGGTAAGGACAATTACCTTAATCCTTGTTTGTATCTCAGGAGAACGGTTCTTAGCAAAGGACCATAAGGACAATTACCTTAATACTTATATGTATCTCAGGAGAACAGTTCTTAGCAAAGGACCACAAGGACAATTACCTTAATCCTTGTTTGTATCTCAGGGAAACGGTTCTTAGCAAAGGACCACAAGGACAATTAGCTTAATACTTATATGTATCTCAGGAGAACAGTTCTTAGCAAAGGACCACAAGGACAATTACCTTAATCCTTGTTTGTATCTCAGGGAAACGGTTCTTAGCAAAGGACCACAAGGACAATTACCTTAATTCTTTTATATCAGGAGAACGGTTCTTAGCAAAGGACCACAAGGACAATTACCTTAATCCTTGTATATCAGGAGAACAGTTCTTAGCAAAGGACCACAATGACAATTACCTTAATCGTTGTATGTATCTCAGGAGAACGGTTCTTGGCAAAGGACCAAAAGGACAATTACCTTAATCCTTTTATATATCTCAGGAGAACGGTTCTTAGCAAAGGACCACAAGGACAATTACCTTAATACTTATATGTATCTCAGGAGAATGGTTCTTAGCAACGGACCACAAGGACAATTACCTTTATCCTTGTATGTACCTCAGGAGAACGGTTCTTAGCAAAGAACCACCAGTCTCTGTGGTACAATAATATTTTTCAAACAAGTAGTGTCATTGGCTACTATTTTGATATAGCATATCATAACATTTAACTCTCAAACATTGAGCTAAGTTGATCATTATCATAATACATGGACACAGTTTTTATGTCTAATTTTTAAGAAATTACTCAAATCATTTAATTTCAAAGGGCTAAACACATATATTAACTACAATCAAGAAAGTACAAGAGCTGTCTTACTCAAGGGTATCTGACTACATGACGTTTGTTTGTTTGTTTGAGTTGTTTAGCGTCCGATTCACTACGGAGTAGTTTTGTTTATCCAGCAGATGACACATACAACATTGTACCCTTTACTACCTCCTTATAAGTGTATTTGTTGAGAGTGTGTGTACCGGATGTTGTTTAGGTCTTTGGTTAGTATGGGTCTGTATTTCTATCTAACAGCCCATTAATAGTACCAAACCAAGAAAAGTATTCTATACCTATATGATACATGTACCAACATTACTTCTGCTAGGAAGCAAACTTATAAAATGGCATTGTTAACACCGACATCTACATTGGCTTCAACAGACTAACAGTATCATTTTTTCCACTCTTAGCTCATGGAACATACATCGGACACATTCGTTTAGAGTCCCGCAAGCCTCAACAGGTGCCCTTAGACAGTGAGCTTCACTTTGGAGCCTCAACTCGTCTGTACGTCATCAGGGAACGTCCTCAGATCACATCCAACCATGGGGATGAGAAGGACAAACGAGCCGATGAATTGGAAGGAGGACTAATGGGCCTGCCCGAGTCTGAAACAGAGTTAGATGTAGGTTGAAATTTCAATTTCTTATCAGTTTCGGCCAAAGATAAATCTTTGTATTATTGACTTTTTATCTTCACATGGATTTTATAAAGTAAACGAATTGAAATTAACAGAGAAGGTAGAAAATTCAGTATAACATTTAGACTGATTTACCACCTAACCATGTATCTACCCATAAAACTGAAATCAAGCGTGGTCCGAGTATGACCTATTCCGTCTTTTCGTATTGCAGAGTTATCTTCTCTTGGGAGCAGGTATTGATTGTTACGTCATTGATTTGTGCGAGAAAATTACGTCGTTTTCTCAAAAATTGATGACGCTGCTCTCACAAACAAGTGACGTAACAATCGATACCTGCTCCCAAGAGCAGATAACTCTGCAATACGCAAAAACGGAATAAGGAATTTGAATTCCTTTGCCTGTAGCATTATACAATTTTGATTGATCATTGAATAAATTCAGTTATCACCAGCAGCATGTCACGTAAAATTTGTTCCTTGATTGAATTAAATATGAGATGTAAAATTTTGTTTAGATTTTAAATATAATACCACATAATATAAATACTTTAATACCCGGTTTTTATACCAGTATCTGTTTTCCAAAGGAATCATTGGTAGGTACTTTTCTACTTCCCCTGGAGTAGCCATACAGAGGGGTGCAGTACAGTTCTGGAAATACACAATTCACAGTAATGATTAAGAAATTAAAAGATTTATGAATATGATAATTTTATATTTTTTTTGTTCCTGTTTACAGAATTTAACAGAATTTAATACAGCCCACAATAGGCGAGTGACAGCCATGGTGGAAATTAATGAAAAGAACTCTACAAATCCATTGAAAAGGAAACACAAAAGCACGCATGTGAATTTTGAGGATGAAGATGAAGTTATTAATCCAGGTATGTTACACAGTCCTTAACTTTAGAATTTATGTTTTAATCACTTAATTTCCTTCTTATTTTATTAAGAATGTAAAAAAGTGCGTTCTACAAGGTCCCCATATATGTTGCCTGCAACTAACTTTTGGCGATTTACAGTTGTTCAAAGGAAGCCACACTGGTAGACTCGTGATTAATCTTAAAATGAGGCTTAAGTACCTCTTTACTGAGGGACATTGTACATTGTACATGCTATGGCATCCCCAAACACTCCAGTACATGCTAAAGTACCTCGGTACTGAGGGACATTGTACATTGTACATGCTATGGCATCCCCAAACACTCCAGTACATGCTATAGTACCTCGGTACTGAGTGACATTGTACATTGTACATGCTATGGCATCCCCAAACACTCCAGTACATGCTAAAGTACCTCGTTACTGAGGGACATTGTACATTGTACATGCTATGGCATCCCCAAGAACTTCAGTACATGCTATCATACCTCGGCACTGAGGGACATTGTACATTGTAAATGCTATGGCATCCCCAAGCACTCCAGTACATGCTATAGTACCTCGGTACTGAGGGACATTGTACACTGTACATGCTATGGCATCCCCAAGCACTTCAGTACATGCTATCATACCTCGGCACTGAGGGACATTGTACATTGTACATGCTATGGCATCCACAAACACTTCAGTACATGCTATCCTACCTCGGCACTGAGGGACATTGTACATTCTACATGCTATGGCATCCCCAAACACTTCAGTACATGCTATAGTACCTCGGCACTGAGTGACATTGTACATTGTACATGCTATGGCATTCCCAAGCACTTCAGTACATGCTATAGTACCTCGGCACTTAGGGACATTGTACATTGTACATGCTATGGCATCCCCAAACACTTCAGTACATGCTATCCTACCTCGGCACTGAGGGACATTGTACATGCTATGGCATCCCCAAGCCCTTCAGTACATGCTATAGTACCTCGGCACTTAGGGACATTGTACATTGTACATGCTATGGCATCCCCAAGCACTTCACTACATGCTATAGTACCTCAGTACTTGGTCCTTAGGTTGAGCAGAGATTGTGGAAGTCTTTCTGGTATTTCCTTTAATAATTATTTGTGTAGAAAATGATTATTGTTTCCTTTTAAAAGGGTGATCCTTGCTGAAAAATAGTTAATACTCCTTCAAAGAATATTAAAATGCAAGATATACTGACAGGGTGAAAATACACTTGTTTGAATATAATGACTCGTAGCTTTCTAAATATGATTTAGGTTAGGATAAATTTTAGGGTAACTTAATTCAATAACATTTTAATGAGTGGTAAAGACCTAATTAAATGATAAGTTGTCATATTATGATTTTTAGTTTATTGACATATTTGTTTCTTTGTATTAAACAGAGGACATAGACCCATCCGTGGGACGCTTTCGGAATCTTGTACAGACAACAGTAATACCAAAAAAGGTTTGTAGTTTACCAGGGTACATATTATTGTGTATTTCCCAGTGCCTACATGTAATACTACATTACAATGTATTGAGGTAGTTTGTGTATCTGTTCAATGGTGTTGAAATATTGATGTAGGAAGTCAGGAAAGTGCAACTGAAGAAATATTAAGAGTGGAAAAATTTTATATATCCAAAAACAGACCAGTTTCAGAGATCGTGAAGTAGTGTCTAGACTTAGTGCCTATTGGAATCATCTATTAATACATTTTTATTGTTTTTGCACATTTTGATGTATCACACATGATTTGAACTTATAAGACGTTTTACATTACACATTTGTATTTATCTAAATTTACGTGTAAAACAATTCCCAGAGAAAAATTTGATTGATCAACATTTGAAGTTTTTAGTTTAGCCTTATATAGACTGCGACATGATTTTAGGGTATGTTGATCTTGCAATATATTAACACTGGTTTCAAGAAATGTTGGAACGAATGATTGAACAATAGCTAACTTTGTCATTCAAAAATAATATGGATTATCGCTTGCATTGTTTATTATTCCTAAATAAACCAAATATAAGTTTTTAATAATTCTTGTCTAACTTTTTACCTGTGTATAGCGAGCAAGACTGGACGGAGGTTTGAATGCCATTTCAATGACAGACAATATTACAAAAAGACTGCAGAGTTTTTCATACTCTACACCCAGTTTATACGCAGATCTTGGAAGTGTGCCAGGAGTGGGTGCTGGAGGTACCCTAAGTATTGCTCAGAAACTAGGACTTCCTATGCTAAATTTGGCACCAGATCTGGTCGAGACAGAACCAGTGGCCCCCGTCAACCCTGTACCCGCGGTCGTGTTCTCTATGGAGGAAGGCAGCAAAGAACCAAAAAAGAAGAAATACGCGAAGGAGGCATGGCCAGGAAAAAAACCAACTCATTCGTTCCTGGTGTAGCCTCAGTATTGTATACAATTCATGTAATGTTCTTGTCATCTCCAGAGGTCAGCTGCAATGATTCATGTGTCCATTATAACGGCCATTTATTCTGCCATCAGGCCACCATCTACATCAGCTCATACAGCCAAAACGTTGTGACCAGCTTTCAGAAAGGAAAGTCAATCTCACCTGTTGTTATTTCAGCATCCTCAATATCCAGGGGTTATGCTAACTTGTACTCTCTGCTCCCCATTGAATTTGTTATTGCAAAACTGAAGGCTCAGGTGTGCACCACCTCGTTGATGAGACAAGAAGATTAGGTCGATCCTTTGATGTACATCAAAAGAATCTTGCGGTTGCGTAATGGTAAAAAATGACTGACTTTGAAGTCAGGTGTCGCCCCTTTGTAATCTTCAAAGAACAGGTATTAGCCTTGTGATTGGTCAGGTATTTTTCACCGGAGACCAATCAGTTCAATTGAATTCAATTCAAATTAGTTTATTATCGTGTCACATGATTTTGAATAGCCACAATACAACTAAATGTACGTGTACCCCTTATAGTAGCACCGTAACTAGTTACTGGCCACACTGTACTCTCATACAGCAAACATGATCAATAATAATCAAAAAACTTTCTTTGTGCCTTCAATTTTGCAATGACCTATTATTCCAGGGGTGCAGAGAGCGTACATGAGCTTAACCCCTGGATATTGAGGATGTTATTTTAGTAGCAAGCACTAAATTCCTTCATGATTTTTGGTTGATTTATTTTTATACACAGTTCATATATACATACTAACCGACGTCTTAGTGAGAAGGTTTTTATACAAAAGTCATGCAAGCAAATCTATGGCTAAGTGAATTCATGTTACACATACATGTTAGCTAATCTATGGCTTAGTGAATGTATGTTTATACATACATGATAGCTAATCTATAGCTTAGTGAATGTATGTATATGTTTATACATACATGTTAGCTAATCTCTGGCTACGTGAATTCATGTCTATACATACATGTAAGCTAATCTATGGCTAAGTGAATTCATGTTATACATATATGATAGCTAATCTATAGCTTAGTGAATTCATGTTTAAACATACATGTAAGCTATTAAATCTATGGCTTAGTGAATGTATGTTTATATATACGTGTTAGCTAATCTATGGCTTAGTGAGTTCATGTTTATACATACATGTAAGCTAATCTGTGGCTTAGTGAATTCATGTTTATACATACATGACAGCTAATCTATGGCTAAGTGAATGTATGTTTATACATACATGTTAGCTAATCAATGGCTAAGTGAATTCATGTCTATGCATACATGTAAGCTAATCTATGGCTTAGTGAATTCAAGTTTATACATACATGTAAGCTAATCTATGGCTAAGTGAATTCATGTCTGTACATACATGTAAGCTAATCTATGGCTTAGTGAATTCATGTTTATATATACATGATAGCTAATCTATGGCTTAGTGAATTCAAGTTTATACATACATGTAAGCTAATCTGTGGCTTAGTGAATTCATGTTTATATATACATGTTAGCTAATATATAGCTTAGTGAATGTATGTTTATATATACGTGTTAGCTAATCTATGGCTTAGTGAATTCAAGTTTATACATACATGTAAGCTAATCTGTGGCTTAGTGAATTCATGTTTATATATACATGATAGCTAATCTATGGCTAAGTGAATGTATGTTTATACATACATGATAGCTAATCTATAGCTTAGTGAATTCATGTTTAAACATACATGTAAGCTATTAAATCTATGGCTTAGTGAATGTATGTTTATACATACATGTTAGCTAATCAATGGCTAAGTGAATTCATGTCTATGCATACATGTAAGCTAATCTATGGCTTAGTGAATTTATGTTTATATATATATGTATGTATGATAATCTATGGCTTAGTGAATGTATGTTTATACATACATGTTAGCTAATCTATGGCTTAGTGAATTTATGTTTATATAAAGATGTATGCTAATCTATAGCTTAATGAATTCATGTTTATACATACATGTAAGCTAATCTATGGCTAAGTGAATGTATGTTTATACATACATGTTAGCTAATCTATGGCTTAGTGAATGTATGTTTATACATACACGATAGCTAATCTATGGCATAGTGAATTCATGTTTATACATACATGTAAGCTAATCTGTGGCTTAGTGAATTCATGTTTATACATACATGTAAGCTAATCTATGGCTTAGTGAATGTATGTTTATACATACATGATAGCTAATCTATGGCATAGTGAATTCATGTTTATACATACATGTAAGCTAATCTGTGGCTTAGTGAATTCATGTTTATACATACATGTTAGCTAATCTATGGCTTAGTGAATGTATGTTTATACATACATGTTAGCTAATCTATGGCTTAGTGAATGTATGTTTATACATACATGTAAGCTAATCTGTGGCTAAGTGAATTCATGTTTATATATACATGTTAGCTAATCTATGGCTTAGTGAATGTATGTTTATACATACATGTTAGCTAATCTATGGCTTAGTGAATGTATGTTTATACATACATGTTAGCTAATCTATGGCTTAGTGAATGTATGTTTATACATACATGTTAGCTAATCTATGGCTTAGTGAATGTATGTTTATACATACATGTAAGCTAATCTGTGGCTTAGTGAATTTATGTTTATATATACATGTTAGCTAATCTATGGCTTAGTGAATGTATGTTTATACATACATGTTAGCTAATCTATGGCTTAGTGAATGTATGTTTATACATACATGTTAGCTAATCTATGGCTTAGTGAATGTATGTTTATACATACATGTTAGCTAATCTATGGCTTAGTGAATGTATGTTTATACATACATGTTAGCTAATCTATGGCTTAGTGAATGTATGTTTATACATACATGTAAGCTAATCTGTGGCTAAGTGAATTCATGTTTATATATACATGTTAGCTAATCTATGGCTTAGTGAATGTATGTTTATACATACATGATAGCTAATCTATGGCTTAATGAATTCAAGTTTATATATATATGTATGATAATCTATAGCTTAGTGAATGTATTTTTATATATACATGTTAGGTAATCTATGGCCTAGTGAATGTATGTTTATATAGACATGTTAGCTTATCTATGGCTTAGTGAATGTATGTTTATACATACATGTTAGCTAATCTATAGCTTAGTGAATGTATGTTTATATATACATGTTAGCTTATCTATGGCTTAGTGAATTCAAGTTTATATATATATGTATGTATGATAATCTATGGCTTAGTGAATGTATGTTTATACATACATGTTAGCTAATCTATGGCTTAGTGAATTCAAGTTTAAACATACATGATAGCTAATCTATGGCTTAGTGAATTCATGTTTATATATACATGTTAGCTAATATATAGCTTAGTGAATGTATGATTATACATACATGATAGCTAATCTATGGCTTAGTGAATTCATGTTTATATATACATGATAGCTAATCTATGGCTTAGTGAATTCATGTTTATACATACATGATAGCTATNGTTTGGGGGGGGGGGGGGGGGGGGGTCATTTTAATAATTTTGCTTCAAGTTACAATATACATATACCGAACCATGCAGCATAAATGTTACTTCAACAAAGAGGTACATGAATACATTAAGTGTGTACATACCACATAAAATACGACAAGTAATTTTGCATAATTCAATATCTCGGAGGAGGGGTTGAATACACATGTCGTTTTCATTTAGTTCTTACTAATCTTATACACATGTTACCTTTTGTGGTTAAAGTGATCAGTTATTGAAAAGGCAGGCATTTTAAATAGGGTTATTACTTGTTTGTTTTTCATGTGAATTTTGCATGGAGTTATACTAAGTGTTTTTTTGAGTAGGCTAATGGGGATGCTAAAATCTCCTATGTAGGGCGGCTCTCTGTGATCAGCAGTAGTTGGGGCCCCTTACACATGATGCCTACAGTCAAGTACGATTTGAGTATACACTGTTGGTCCATGTTTTACATGTTAATGTATTTGGAACTTTGGATGATGGATTGAGTGAAAGTCATAAAAATAATATCATTGAGTCATTACTGGAACTACAGGTATTTGGTTAATAGAGACACGAGTATCATATATGTGTTTTATTAACGATGAATATGTGTTTTTATAAAACGTCCATTGGTGTATCTTAACCTTGTTTTGTGTTTTTGTGAATTTGGAAGACATTTGCTTGCCCAAGAAAAGCTTTTAAGAAATTTTGTGAAGGATTTGATAGAAATATACAAATATCATCGGAAACTCCCTTGTAGCATGTTTCATCAGCGTGTACTCATGTATGAAAGTTTTATTTTTCGTTATATCACAAAACTGTTTAAGTCTTAGAACGGGTTAAACTATTTCAAATATCCTCTCAAATGTTCAGGAACTACATATAGAATCTGCAACCAATCCACCGTTGAAGACTTGAGGTGATTTGTTCTCACAAAATCATAAAAATTGTGTGTTTTTTAAAAGATAAGGCACATATTGAATGTTATTCATGAATTAAGCCAATATGCTAATTACTGTTACATAGATATTAACTAGTGGAAGCAATTGTTTGGAATTTGACGTTCTGACGTCATGGTGTGATGACATAGTATTGACTGAAAACAATAGCAATAAAGTCAAAAGACATGTGCTTCCCGCAGATATGAACATTCATTCTAGGTAATCTCATTAAAAAGGATATTGAATTTGTTTTGATTCACATGAAATTTATTAAATTCATTTCCAGATTTCCCGTTTTAGTTTGCCAGAACCACGTTGAAGCGAAAAACCATAGGCTCGTTTTAAAATCTGACATGAGATCCTAGATCATGTTTAAGTTTCATATGTAATGAATATCTATTTGATTTCAAATGTGTCATCAACATATTGACGCTTTTTGATGTTGGAACGCTTGGGCATTAAATGCACGACAAAACATATTCTGTGGGCACTAAGTAAATTGTGCTTGTGTTCCTGTGTAGAATTTTGATTCCTTCCCACCAAACGAAATTTTCAGTAAAATGATTACGATACTAACGATCTGTGGTATTTAACTGGAAGTTGATATTTTACTTTATTTGTTCGTTTACCCCAAGTCACCATCAGATAGATGCTAATTTATAACATGCCCACAGTCTTTGTATTGAAGTATAATTAGTGTTACAAGTATTTGAGTACGGGTTACCTCCCTTCCACTTTCTTTGACAAGGCAATATTTTTTTCTGCAACAACAATACAGATAGCAGCCGCACACACTGTAAATAAATATAAATATCATTGGTGCTGCAGCTTTTACCTTATATTGTTTTAATACTTATGAAGTGTTGTATGCTTACAGAGAAATTTTAATGGCGTGGTATAGTATCACATGTCTGTCGTCATATGGCAAGTCTAGTTAACATGTACTCGAGGAACAATGTCAGCCTGTGTAAAAAAATATATAATTATGAATATTACATATTATATAGATATTGATATTTTCAGTAGAAACATTTATATTTGTTAGATATTGAAAAAAAGACATCATCAAACGCCTTGCCCAAAAAGGACACAGGAAACATTTAAATCATTATTACATCTGACATCCCAGAAAGCGTAACCCCCCAAAAAACCCATAATAGCTATACAGTTTGGACCTCAATTAAGCACCACCTGAAACCTTAAAACAAATGATATCTCCAACTTTACAAAGATTTGATACTGATCGATGACCCAATATATATTAAAAGCTAATCGTCTAAAAGTGTATTAACTGAAAACAAATAAGTTATTCAGATTTGCAAAAAAGAGGATAGATGCCATTAAATCAGTAATATCCCACATTAAAAGGCTGTCAAAGCGCAAACATACCACCGTTCGTCAAATACAAAAGTACCCAATAGCTCCCTCTTTCAATATGTTTTTGTTCTACATCCCAAAACAACTGTAGTCAAACCGGTC